GTTAGTGTTAAACCTCTCGTGGTGGGATAGGTGTAATACACTCGATGGTTGATCTTTACCCTAGAACAAGAGTCATCGTCTCAGGTGTCTATGACAGCCTGGTGGCTAGTCAGATGAAAAATGATTGCAATGAACACTAGTGAGCAGAAACTAAAAAACAAACCACAGTCAACACTCTGGATCAGACAGACTTTATGCCAGAATTTGGCTATGCCACCAGATCTCTGAGATTTGCATTTTGTTTTGTTTTTTTTTAAAAAGCAATCAATGATGTAAGGTCCAAAATAATATATTCAGTTTTCTAAATAATACAGTTCTTTTTAATGGTGGCTTTTAATTTACTTTTGTATCATGCAATCCCAACAGATTACGTCTATAAGCTCTGAATTAGTGATGTTGGCTGTAGCCCACAGGACCTTAAATTGTCACAGTACAGCAAACGTGCATTGAACATATATTCCATGGTTCCTATAGCTAGAGAAGACACCAGAGATACTGAACATACACGCCTAACCCCTTCCATCAAGGAGCCCACACTCCAGCAATCAAAATGTGTAGAGTAGAACACTAGTAATTATAATCCAGTAGGAAAGAATATACCACAAATATTTAATTTTTAAATAGTGATGAGTACTATAAAAGCAAATATATGTCACAGAATCAGAGATGAAGGGAGAAGTAACTGGTGTTTATGTTGGCTTCAGGAAGATGAGCATGCTTTTGGCTAAAGGATGAAATGGAGCAAGAATACTCTAAACAGGAAGAACTGTATATGCAGAGCCTCTGAGTATCATAGCATTGGGCATGTCTGGGGAACAGGCAGGAGGCATGGGTGATCGATACAGAGCAAATGACAAGAATCACAGAAGAGACCAGAGAGAAGCTGGGATACATCTATCAAATGTGGCATTATGGCCAATGTCAGAAATCTGGTGAAATATGTGACTCTGGATATAGCTTCTGAATTCTTCCCTTGCATGGCTTCTGTGCTTAGACCCTATGTAGTACATGGATACACACACTGAAGCACCTGAACTCCCCGCCACTGTGGACCATACTAGGTGCCTTGTTTCCCACTCCTACCTGGAGAACACAGATGCATGCTGATGCCATGAAAACGCTTGCCACATTTTGAGTGGGTAGATTTTCTGAAGATGGTTTGAGGTAAGGTACAACTAGATAGGAGGGCGAGCTCTGCTGCAATATAACAATTTAGGGAACTGTTTCTGAGTTTCTTCATTGTGTTCCATAAAGTAGAGATAAATAGGAGCATGATCAGGAGAAAGATGGGAGATTAGAAAATACCCGAATGTAACTTCTGTATTTAAACATCATAGCTGAAATGAAAAAGGGTACCAAATGATATCATTAACACATTAGATAGTGTGAAGAAACTGTTAGAGAATATTCATGTATTAAAAGACTGTTCAAAATTTAAAAAGATAAAAAGACTAAAGATGAGCAGAGCACGGGTGAACTGTGGCACACTGTCACGTGATGAGCAGGCCACAAGTGAACTGTGGCACACTATCAAGTGGTGTAACATGTTTAGTTGGGTCCCGGAAGTGGTAGGGGCAGAAAAAGAGCTTGAAGGAAAGAATCGCTTAAAACTTTTCCAATGTGGTGTAGACTACAGATCTGCAGATGAAGAAAGGCCTGATAAGAACCTACCCTGCCCCCAATATCACAGGCTGTTGGTTACTGTGCATAGCCTAATGGTAAGACCCTGTTGCTGAAGATACAACTTACTTATGTTACTGAGCACAGAGAAGTTGAGCTGGTCCCCCAACTAGATTAGCATTCACCCCTAATGACTAGCATTCATGATTCTGGAAGGTTCTTTGCATACTACCAGAGGAGAAATAATTATCAATTTCATTCAACTACAAATGCTGCAACCTACAACAGAGACCTGTTCTACCCACAAGATATACTGGTACAAGAGGGGCACAACTGTCATGGTAGTTACCAACTACTTCTTGATTAGAAGTGGGCAAGAACCTGAGACTAGACGGATCACGGACCCTCGGGGGAAACCTCCTACTATTGTCCTGCTAAAGGAACAGAGTGATAAAATGACTCCTAATGAAATACTGCTGTACCCATAGTTCAATGCATTGCTTAGCCATCATCAGAGAAGCTTCTTCTTGCAGTAGATAAGAATTAACACAGAGACCCACAATGGACAGTGTGCAGAGCCAGAGACTTTGGGGTACTCCGTCTTAAATAGGATGTCTTTTTCAAGGTCCTTCCCTCAAGGCCCAGGGATTTATGTGAAGGGAGAGGTGGAAAGATATTAAAAGCCAGAGGTGGTAGATGACTCCCAGGAAACAGTGTCTTCCAGACACAAAACTGATGTGCATATGAACTCAGAGTCTGTGACAACATGCATAAGACCCACACAGGTTCAAAATAGACAAGATCCCAGCACTGAGAAGGAGGAGTGGACGTGAGATCTCATCCTTCACTAAGAAGCTATTCACAATTGATACCTGCTGGGAAAGGGAAAATTAATTTCGTCAATAGAGTGACACTGAGTATATCAACCATACTCCAGGACAGGCCCCATTCCAGGAGTAGTGGACCAACACTAAATGGACTCTATATTTTGGGATGAGTTTTGTTGTTGCTGTTGTTGTATTGATGTGTGTGTGTGTGTGTGTGTGTGTGTGTGTGTGTGTGTGTGTGTGTCTGCATGCTCTTTTGTTTTGATATTTTTGTCTTATTGACTTTTCTTTTTACTAGTCAGTTTTTCTGTTTTGATTTTTCATTTTTTTTGTATTTTTCTTTCTTCCTGGTTGTTTTACAGAGAGAGAGAGATCACAAAGCTAGATGGGTAGGGAGGTGGGGAGGACATAGGAGGAGATAAGGGAGAGGAAAAAATGTTTTCAGAATATAATGTGAAAATTTTTAATTAAAAAAAAAAGGAATCGACAAAGCCAAGAAGTAGGAACAGGAAGAAAACCACAACAGAGCATCTCATGGCCAAATGGCCAAAAACCAACGATAAAGCAAAACTATTGAAAGTAGTCAGAAAAACAGACACCATACACAGGGAGGGGCAAAATTAAGAAATGGTAGCAGACTTCTCGCTCTGTGATCAGTGCAAGTCATGTGACAGTGAGGGGCACCCTTAAAATAGTGTGGTGGGATATACTTGAGTTATAGGACATGAGGAAATCAAGCTGGAACTAACCCAGAAGCTCCTTCTCTACCGGCTAGCTTTCATAGTACTGGAAGATTCTATGCATAAGACTGGGGGAAGAAAGTAATCAATCTTAGTCAACTATAAACTCTGGGATCTATAGAAACAGCTGGTGAGGTATTGTCTTGGTTGATGATTGATGTGAGAGGGCCAGCCCACTGTGGGTGGTGCCATCCCTTGGCAGGTGGTCCTGGGTGCTATAAGAAAGCAGGCTGGGGCTGGAGGGATAGCTCAGCCGTTAAAGGCTAGGCTCACAACCAAAAATATAAGAAAGCAGGCTGAGCAAACCATGGAGAGCCAGACAGTAAACAGCACCCCTCCATGGTTTCTGCCTAAGACCCTGCGTCCAGGTTCCTGTCCTGACTTCCCTCAGCAATGGAGTGTGACCTGAGAGGTACAAGCTGCAGCAAACCGCTTTCCTTCTTGAGTTGCTTACGATGTGTTTTCTAACAGCAACAGAAACCCTAATAAGACACATATCAAACACAAACGGATAAACAATATATCATCTCATTTATATGACATGATATAAAAACAAAGTTTTAATGAAAGAAAGCAGGTGAACAGCTTCTTGGCCTGGGTAGGAGAGAGCATGGATTATAGGTAGCATAAGGATACATTGAACAAAAGAACCATTCTCTGTGTTCACTGTGACTGGCTATCAGACCGTACACATTGGTTAAAGCTCACCAAGTATCATATTTAAATTTGGTGAACTCTGTTATATATCAATCAAAGGAAATGGCAGGAGGGAGGCCAGGGAGGATGGGGATGGGGAGAGGAAGAGGGGAGAGCAAGGCCGAAACCAAGCATTCCTCTTTTCAAAAGTGCAATCCATTCAGGAAGAACTGGCCCTTGGCCCATCACATAAAACACTTCAGGCTAGATTCCCTGTGCTCTGATGGCCTCGCCTTCTACCAAAGGTAACTGCATCCCAAAGAGGATCTTGGCATCAGCTGGCAATCATGAAACCCTTGGCTTAGTTGAATGAGGACTGCTGCTGGCCAAGAGGAAGCCAGTGCCCCTTGATTGCCTAGAACCCTGACCTCTCCCCTTCCTGCTCTCACTTGCTCCATCTCTACCGTGTCTCAACCCTCCAAACTCCCTTTAATCTAGGTTCTTCTCCAAAAGCGGAAGACTCATTTCTACATTGCCCCCCAGCTGCTGGAGGGCACACCCAGTATGCATAGGTTGTTGATGGGTCTCTGCCCAGTGAAGTGAAGGTATCTTCACTTCTGGGACAGACTGGTTTCGTATGCCCAAGGAGTAGACGGCATACAGGAGCTAGAGGCTGAGACTGTGAGATGGAGAAGAGTGAGACTAGCCCACTGCCAAGGAGCGACTGAGAGACAGAAAACAGGTCTGGGGATGACTGCAGTGGGAAGAAGACATGGTATTTTCAGTGCCAAACAAAACAATATGTAAAGAATGCACACACCCCATGCTAACAGTAAGGTAGCATGACTCCTGAAGGACTCTGAGGAAAGCATACTGATTCTCTTATTAGGAGATGGTTTACTGATGAAATGTGATTTGAGTCTTTGATTACATATAAACAGTTGTTCCAATTCCCTGAGAACTAACTTGGTCAATCTTAAGTAATCTTTGCTAGTAGCAATTATTCTTCAGGTCACCATAGTATTGTGCAGATGTGGGGATAGAAGTAAGTATATGACTCTTTCTGATTAGGAAAGTTGCTGTGAAAAGCAGGTAATTTGCAGAGAGCTCATCTAGGGTTGTCCACACTGGAGAATGATGGAAAACTCCAGATGTTTTTGTGGCTGTTATTCTCCAGGGGCTTCGTATCCTGACCACACATTCCCAGCGGAGAGGATGGATGATGTTGTGGCTCCTGGAGGAGAGTACACCTACGTGTGGGTCATCACTGAGGACAGCGGGCCCACACCCGATGACCCTCCATGCCTCACCCACATCTACTACTCCCATGAAAACCTGACCCAGGATTTCAACTCGGGGCTGATTGGACCTCTGCTTATCTGTAAGAAAGGTAAAAGCAATAATACCAGATTCAACCACAGCAAAGATGCTGGGGTGGCTGAGAGATGATACTGGGCTAAGACTTGGGAGAACCTTGGTACCTTCCTGTAGGTGAGGCAGGAGAACACAGTGGAGACCAGATCATGACTGAGAGAAAATGGCACCTGGTACTGGCTTTCCTGTCTCTTCTAAAACCTCCCATCATTTTAGGCATGGCAATTTCCTTCACGTCTGTTCTGACATTGTGCCTGAGTGTTTATATGACCTTTACCTCAAGGCCAGGTCTATTTATTTTAAAGTGTACAGCACCCTACTCACTGGGGAAGTTCCTGGAGAGGACACTGGCTGGGACAACTTGCACAGCTGAAGTTCGTTTTGGTGATTTGGTTTATAAGCATGTATACCCCAGCTCTCTTCCTTTGTTGTTATTTGGTTGAGGGTGGGTTGGTTGCTCAGTTGGTTGGTTGGTTGGTTAGTCTTTTATTTTTTTAGTAAGCGGGGCCTTGAACTCACAGTGATATTTCTCCCTTAGCTTCCCAAGTAGTAGGATTACAGGTGTGAGCCACCATTCCCAGTTCAGCTTGCTTTCTTATAAACAAGTTGAACACGTTAGGTGAAGCCCACAGATTTTGTGAGTGTCGACTTTTGCTGACCTATGCAGATGTGTGTCTTTGAGACCTGAAATCTGAGGACCTTAAAGAATGAGGTGGACTGCAGTGTAATGCTATAGACAATTTTACATCAGTTTCAGAGTACTTTTATACATGAATGAAAGAAAGAAAGCAATGTTCCAAGGAAGGTTGTTTGAGTTCAGAAAAACATCATCAGAAACACATGTAAATAAACTCCAGTAAGCACGTACCAAATATTGACAGAGCAGCCCTTTCCCAGAACTTTCTCAGACAGACCAATTTAAACACATTTGCCTGGCACGTGTCATAGATTATGTCTGGGGAAGCACGAAGGCCATGTCCAGATTCAGGTCCACCGAGGACGGCATTCAGCATGTCCTTTCACCAGATTGGGTCCTATAGCTGTGTTCTGACATCCAACAGGAATAAACATGTCTTATAAATTGAGTGTAAATGTTTAACACGGGAGGCATGAAATCATGTCTAAGAACAATCCAGGGAAATAAATGCCCCTGAGGTAAAAGGCCCTCTGCCTTTTTCCTGAGGCCTCTCTCACAGTTCCCCAAGGCATTGTTTACCATATGTCCTTCTTTTGACCAGTTCCGGCAGTGAGGAATCCCTTGAGCTGTGCTTCTCAGTAATACACGTGACTTTCCCTTTCATTGCCTTGCTCTGAGAGGCTCCAACTCATCTTTCACTGAAGCAATCAAAGACTACATACAGCAAACTGACATGCGGATAATGTCCTTTACACCCAGCTACTTACTCATCATACAACATATTTTTTAATTTCCTGGCAAATATACTATAATTGCATTGAAAAAAACTGTTCATCTTTTAAAAGGCTTTTTCATTTTATCACCATTTTTACTCATATAAGGATTGGTTTATCTTGATATAAACAACTCTCTAGTCGAGTATCCCACTTATGTATAGATGAGGAAGCTGTATTCAACATGGGGTGTTGTGTTGTACCATCTACTCTAAGGTGCATGTTCTGGTCTGAAGATTGGAAGAAATGGGTGCTTTTCCTTGTTGATGATGTTAGTTTTGAATTTTATTTTTTCAAATGAACAATTGTCCATTTATTTTATGTAAATATTCTTTTTTAACGTTTTATTGATTCTTTGTGGATTTCACATCACACATCCCGATTCCATTCATCCCCCTGCACCTTTACAACTACTCTCTGCCCCTGCAACCTCCCTCACCTCCCCCATGAAACAAAACAAAATCAAATGTAAAAGAAAAGAAAAGAAAAATCTCATTGTAAAAGCCGAAGTGTGATAAGGTTGAGTCACACAGTGTGCCCTTTAGTCCGTATATCTTTACTTTCAAATGTTCACTGCAATGAGTCATTGGTCTGGTTTGAGGCTTCTGGCTTCTGCTGGGCCATCCTAGACATCATCTTAGACATGCTACCGGACTCCTCTCGGCATCCTGCTGTTACCCTGTGTCATGGAGGTCCTACAGCTTTGGGTCTGCAGGGCTGGTCCCTTCACATGCTCCAGCAGATCATATATGGGATGGATGTTGGGGTGGGCCAACTCATATCCCTGCTTCTGGGTGGTAGCTGGGTTGAGCAGCCCACCAGCTCCTCCTCATCCTCATCACCAAGGTGAGCTCTCCAACACCTCCCTGGCTAGTTTGCCATATATAGCAAGCAGCAAGGGGCAGGGCCTGTTCTCCTGTTCTCACACCCACAGGATCAGCTCACCTGCACCTGTTCTCACACCACCAGGGCCAGCTCTACTGTGTTGCCCAGGTGAGGTGCAGGGTCCACTCCCCAGGGTGCTGCAGCCGGTGAGGGTCAGAACCAGCTCTTCCACTCTCATGACCTCAGGGCCAGCTCTCCCACTCACCACAGGCAGCAAGGGGCAGGGGAAGAGAATTTTGGCTTTTGAGGGTAGACTATTACTGCATAATCCGGAATGGACTTGTACTCCCTATATAGCCCAGGATTACCTCAAACTCATGATTCTCCTGCCTCAGCTTCTCCTGAATACGGTAATTATAGGAATAGATCCTATTCCCTGGCTGGAAATGTATGCTTCAAGTTTATATAAACATTACTTGTTTCTGGCCCCCAATTCGGATGTGTAGGACTACTAAAGGTACTCTTCGATGGGGAACATGATGGAAGCCTGTCTCTTCTTTCTCAGGCACACTCACTGAGGATGGGACTCAGAAGATGTTCGACAAGCAACACGTGCTGCTGTTTGCTGTGTTTGACGAAAGCAAGAGCTGGAGCCAGTCACCATCCCTAATGTACACAGTCAATGGCTTTGTGAACAGGACGATGCCAGGTAACACAGCGGCCGTACAACATTCGGCAAAGACAGGGTCACCAGTACCGTGGCCCCATGGTTTCTTTAAGGCAGCTTGCCACATACACTGGTTTCCAGTGCCTAGTGGCAAATTATCACACTCTTGTGCAATGATTCAGTGACTCTTGTGATTTTTATCGTCATCATCTTTTTCTACCTTAGCCAGGAAGTACAACAGATAAGTCAGAGGGTAACAAGGAACCTTGTGTTCTATAGCCTTGTTAAGTGTAGCCTTCTGAGCTCTACTCAAGTACAGAGTACTCAAGTCACTCTCCATAGGAATGGTCAACAGAAGGAGTGAAATAAAGAGGGCTGGAGAGATGGCTCAGCAGTTAGGAGCACTAGCTGCTCTTCCAGAGGTCCTGAGTTCAAGTCCCAGCAACCACATGGTGGCTCATAACTATCTGCAATAGGATATGATACCCTTTTCTGGTGTGCACGAAGACAGAGCATTCATGTACATAAAATACGTAAATCTTTAAAAAAAATAAAGATACTTGTAGTACAGATAAACAGGAGTATGCTCTACCATATAGATATATTAGTAGCTGTTCAAAAGTCTATTGATAAACAATATTCAGTGGCATATAGAATGTTTTCTCTTCCCATCTGCAGACAGAGTTTTGTAAAAAAAAAAAAAAATAAAATAAAAAAAAAAAATAAAATCATACCAACTGTTAAGTTGGGGGGGATCAGACTTCCACTGTACTAGTCAATTTTATATAAATAAAATACTGAATGCTGTCTACTATATGAAGAAAAGGTGTTTAAAAACAATTCAGTTTTAGAAGCAGAAAACTCAAGACTGGCAGGTTCATCAGCTCAGCCTTTGGTGAGGGACCACATGTCTGTGTCATAGTAGGGCATAGAAGCAAAAAGGAGATGGCTACATGTAGAAGGACCAAGAACAGAGATGGCCTTGCTTCATAATAACTCACTCTCATGAGACTTAACCAAGGTCCCATGAGAACTACATTAATCTCTTCCAGGGACAATACCTCCAGCGCCCTAACCACTTCCCCTAGACTCTGTGTTTCAAAGGTTCTACTACCTGAAATTCACCACACAGAGCCAAGCTTTTGGTATACGAGCCTTTTAGGCGACATACCATAACCATAGCAACCACCTATATCTCTTCTTCCATGTCTTTCTAGCAGAACTGCCGTGGAATGAAAATCTAGGATATTCGTTCGTGTGTGTGTGTGTGTGTGTGTGTGTGTGTGTGTGTGTGTGTGTGATGTAGTAATAACAACTCAGGGAGAAAGGCTTGATTTGATCTTTCTTTGCTCCCATGGTGACTGGGAAACTGTTCATTTGCTCCATGGGAGATTCTAACCTTGACTTCTACCCTGGATTTACATTTCAAATTTCAAATTTACAATGACAAGATACAAGATAACTGGCTAAAAATTAGTCCCTTAGGATAAATACATATATACACACAAATAAATGAATGAATAAATAAATAAGTAAATCCCACAGTATATATCATATACTGTATTTATATTCAGTTTAGGGGAAAAAAAGAAAGTATTTCCCTATTAAAAAATTCGATGGGACCTGGTTCGATCCTTAAGGCTCACATGGTGGAAAGAGAGAATCAACTTTCACAGGTTATCCTCTGACCCCCACACATGAATCATGTGATTTATGCCCATACACAAAATCAATAAATAACTGTAAACAAAAATACAGAAAAACACTGTCAAGAGTTGAGGTCTGGTATTGCTTTCAATTTTTATTCTATTTCATTTGGCGCCATCTTCTGCCTGGCTCATGCAGCTCTGGGTATTGATTCTGAGTTCCAAAACTGGGTTCTTGCAAACCTGAGACCAAGCTAACAACTGAGCTCTACCTTGGCAGATCTGAATTCATACCTCACTCATTTCCCTGCCTCTGTGTTCTCCTTACCAACTAGTAGTTCAATATGCTGTTTCCAGAAATGGGATTAACAATCCCATTATCTGTGTCCTGACAGGCAGAATAATCTGTGTAAATATACAAAAGCTGAAATAGTGGACTGTGTGTACAAATTAAACAGAAGCAACTTGATCAGGACAGAGAGATTATAAATTTGTAGTTGAAAAAGAATTTTCAAATAAATGCAAAAGAGCAAGAAAAGGGAAGAAAAATGATTAGTAGACACAATAGTTACATAAGGGCCCCAGTCTTCTAGAGCAGCACTCAGTGAATAAACATGACAATACTATGGTGGATGTGTTCATTACTGGACTCAGATCAAGTCATTTCTGAAGTGAATAAACACACCCACAGGAACACACATACCTTCTCACTACCTCACAGCTTCCTGTTCACAATGCCTTCTCAAAGGACAAGGGCCTCTAGGGATGAGAAGCCAATTCCCAGACCATCCTCTTCTACCTAGTGATCACGAATCTGGGTAGGAGCCAAGCCTGGACTCTTTCCCGGAGCAAGTGAACATTTTCTCAATCACTGTGGCAACAAAGAAAGCAAAGAAGAGCTTTTCCCTCGGTTCTTTCTTCCTCGGTTGTTATCAATCTGTCCATAAAAAGCTCTTGGGCTCCAGTTACAACGAGGATACCAGTAACGCAGAGAGTAATCCATTGTCACTAAAATAATTCAAAACTGGGTAAAGACACAATGGAAAATTCATCAGCGTATCTTCACACTTTCCTTTACTTTGATGGCACTTGACCTCCAGCTGCATGAAAAGATTAGCTACTGACACTCTGGCCTATGGGAGGTGCTGGTGACTTCTTCCAACTGAAGCCAGACTGATGTGACCAGTCACTCCACTTTGCCTAGGACTTTATCAATTCATATACTGAGAGCCCTGTGTCTTGAGAGACCTCTCAGTCCTGGACAAACTGGGATGGTTCATCACGTATACAGCTGCCCCCTAGCCTCAGTCCTTTCAGTTCTAGGGGAATGACCCCCATTCTAAGCTCTATCCCCCCCTTCAGGGTGCTACTTGCTACATGAGTTGTGACTTTGTTTCCCTGCCACGATGCATTTGGATTTGTCTCTCCTTCTCAGATATAACAGTCTGTGCCCATGACCATGTCAGCTGGCATCTGATTGGAATGAGCTCGGGGCCAGAGTTGTTCTCTATTCACTTCAATGGCCAAGTCCTGGAACAGAACCAGCACAAGGTGTCCACCATCACGCTGGTCAGTGCTACGTCTACGACCGCGAACATGACTGTGAGCCCAGAAGGAAAGTGGATTGTGTCTTCTCTCATCCCAAAGCATTATCAAGGCAAGAAACCTTTCTGACCATCTTGTGTAGGGTGCAGCTCCGTATGTTCTCTTCTACCCTTTAGTTAGCCCTGCCTATGGTCCCAATAACACCATTAGACCCTCAGCTCTTAGACTCATGGCCCATTGTTTAGGGATGAAGGAAGACCAGACATTGACAGAGACCTTTTAAAATAAAACAAAAGCTGACAAGCTCTCTACTTCCATGAACGAGGAAGAAAACTAATGCTTCTGTAGATGTATTCTTGGGTGTCTGTCATATGTAGCCAAGGGAAGGAACCCAGAGGTTAGATAGAGCAAGGCAAACATCCACAAATCTCTAGAAGTATGGAGTTACCAAGACTGACAAGGCCAAACATGAACGTGGTCCTGTACAATGAAATGAACACAAAAGCCTGGCACAGAAACCAACTCAACCAATGTGTGTTGAACGGACCATAAATGCTCCGTTGTCTGTTTGTTTTACTGAGGAAGAGTCTTACACTGTAGCCCAAGCTGCCCTGAAACTCATGGCAACCCTCCCGATTGAGCCTCCCCAATGCTGGAATTATAGGCATGAGCCACCACACCAGCTAGAAACGGACTTTAGAGAGCATCAGTGAATTCTCCTGAACCAGCAGGAGTCATGTGGCATCATTTAAATGAAACAGTTAACTGTCATATCCCACATTTTTGCTTCTAGACTGTTGAGAGGGTCACTCATGCTGATAGAGATGAAAATCTAAGCACATTCTGTTACTATGGGAAACTGTTAACCCCTAGGCGTGTAGGCACTTGAGAAATAAATATTATATGAGATCATTTTGTTTTCCTTCTAAGCAATGAAAATTATGTTGAAGTAATGATACTAATAAACCACCACTGTGGTATCATTATTAATAGTAGGAATAAAGCAAAAATAAAACTAAAATTAAAGACAAGTGGTATTATGAATTATTAATAATCACATTAAGTATACACTATTGTGTTCTTCATTTTTTGTTTGCTTGCTTGTTTTTTGTTTTTCAAGACAGGGTTTCCCTGTGTAGCTTTGTGCCTTTCCTGGAACTCACTCTGTAGTCCAGGCTGGCCTCGAACTCACAGTGATCCGCCTGCCTCTACCTCCCGAGTGCTGGGATTAAAGGTGTGTGCCACCACTGCCTGGCTTGTGTTCTTCATTTAGCAAAGGGACGAATAACAAGAAAAGACAAAATTTCATATTTAGTTAGTTATTTTGGAGTGAGAGAGAGGGAGAAAGAGAGAGAGCTGTGTTAAGGATCAAACGCAAGGCCATCTACATGCTAAGCCCACACTCGACCATAGAGCTATACCCCAGCCCTCGTCCCAGGGTGTTCAGTTTGTTCCTGGTGCAGAAGAAATGCAGGGAACCTTTCCAACCTCTTCCTCTAGCCCTCGACTCTCCCCCTGCTTTCTGCTCTTGCCTCCTCTGTGGCCCATTAAAAGAGTGCTAAACTCAAATGACTAAAAGTTATCTGAGCAGTGCTTTGCTGTTAGTATTTGTCTCCCATGAATTTTTTTAAAATACACCTTTTGATGAAATTTTTCTCTTAAATTCTACTACTGACTTTATATCCTAATCCAGCTGGGATGCAGGCTTACATTGACATTAAAAACTGCCTGAAGAAAACCAGGAATCCCAAGACCCTCACTCGAGAGCAGAGGCGACACATGAAGAGATGGGAGTACTTCATTGCGGCAGAGGAAGTCATCTGGAACTATGCACCCGTGATCCCTGCAAATATGGACAAGTGAGTCGGGGTAGAGACATGTCCCTTGGAGTCCTTAGTGTGTGAGGCTGGAATCTGATGTCATGAGTGGCCAGCTCTCAAGAGACATGTGTATTGATTTCCACCTACATATTCTTGTCCTCATCAACAATTACTCCTAAATCACCATAGCAATGTGGCCTGATGATAATAACAAGAACAACAGCATCTAGAACTCACTGAATGCTTGTTATTGCTAATCCTTGTAGTAGATGTTTGCTAAGGGCTTCACATCAGTTCTACGGATTCAGTGCTACTCTTCTTTTCTCATACCTGAGAGAAGATGCCAGAATAATAAAAAAAAAAAAATGGAAGTTCTAGTAACTCTTCATATGCCATTCATAATAAGAAAAATGAAAATGAAATTTCACTGGAATGCTGTCCTGTACCTATCAGACTGGCAGGTTCATCTTAACACCATCTATTGCCAAGGCTGTGGGAAACAAAACTGATCCCACATTCTGATGACCTAGTGTTCTTCTAAAGCCATTCTGTGGGATAACTTGACAAAGTATGTTATAATTGTAAGCACATATACCCTTTCTACCAACACCATGCTCTTGAATTTAATTGTACAAAAGTATTCTTGTTCACAGGCTGTATGAATAGGGTGCTCACTGCTGCACTGTTAATAGTAACAAAAAATTAAAACCAATTCCAAAAGTCCATCAGTTGGAAAAGAGCATCAAGTTATAGCACATTCATGCATTAGAATACTATGAATCCACAAAAAGAAAGGAAAGGAAAGAAAAAAAAGGAAGGTACAGACAGTCTCTGTCAGCATAGCTACTTCTTTTTTTTTTTTTTTTTTTTTTTTTTTTGGTTTTTCGAGACAGGGTTTCTCTGTGTAGCTTTGCGCCTTTCCTGGTACTCGCTTTGGAGACCAGGCTGGCCTCGAACTCACAGAGATCCGCCTGCCTCTGCCTCCCGAGTGCTGGGATTAAAGGCGTGCGCCACCACCGCCCGGCCGCATAGCTACTTCTTATCAGGTACTTATGACTCATTCAGTGGTGGAGGAGGTGACTCTTGTTTGTTAGTTTTTGGCTGCATAGAGAACATCAAGATGTTGCAAACAACACTGAGAATGTTCCCAGAAGTAGTATTCTAGCTAGCCCCAAAGCAGAACTTGCACGTGCAAGGGTTTCCCACCGCATATCGCACCAGACTCTCTACTTGAAGTAGTTTAACTTTTGTTTTATTATTTCATTTCACTTTAAGGAAATACAGGTCTTTGCACTTGGATAATTTCTCCAATCAAATTGGAAAACAGTATAAGAAAGTTATTTACAGGCAGTATGAAGAAGAGACCTTCACCAAACGCACGGAGAATTCCGGTTTCAAACAAAGTGGGATTTTGGGCCCTATTATCAGAGCCCAGGTCAGGGACACACTCAAGGTAAGCAAAGAAATATGGAAGCAGGGAAGAATTAAACTATGGAAGACAGATCAAGTGTTGACAGCTTTCAATATTTTTGAATGTGTTCATTCAATTTAAATTTTAAGTTCAAACATAGCTTTTAGTTTTACTTAGTATTTCATTCATTTATAGCCTACTTAAAAATTCAAAAAGAATCTTGACGGACAATCAAACTAAGAAAATAAAACAGTCACTGTCAATGAGGAGTGAAGAATAGTATGGGAGCGAAGAACATAAGACCACAAATAAGCATAAGGAAACATACCCGTACAATCCCAAGGTTGTCTGCAAAGCTTTTCCTAACGTTTATAGCAAATTAAAGAGGAAATAGGCCTGGGCAAGATTTGCATACCTGTGAACACAGCACAATTTGCCTGAGGTAGAGAGCCAGGAGAAATCCCTTGCGGTGCGTTTTCAAGTCAGTGTCCTTGACAACATCCCCCAAACTGTCACAAAGCAGAAGAGTCAGGTGGCTTTTGAAAATGATATCACTCATTATCAGTGTGAACATCCAAGTCAGGAGAGTGAAGAGAAAATAACTCCTCAGGACAGTCTGAGTATGTGGCTCTCATGACTGGTCTCTATTAAAGCTGCATTTGTATATGTTGGGCTGGCAAGATGGCTCAGTGCAGAAAGGCATTTGATGCCAAGCCTGAATACCTGAGTTCATTACCTGGGGCCTATGGTGGAGAGAATCAATTCCCATGGGTTGTCTTCTGACCTCGAATGCACACTGTAACATGCATGCCCTTAAACACACACACGCACTCGAGCACACACACACACACACACACACACACACACACACACACACACACACACGTAATAACAATTTACTTGAACATTATATCACATCACAGAGCTAGGTAAGGATCCAAGCAGCAGACAATTGAAGGCTACAATCTTCGGCAAGACCCTATGAGGTAGATAATCTAACAGATCGGGGGTGATTTAAAGGCTTTGTCAGCAAACCAAGTAAAAGAGAAGGCTATAGTTACCTATTGAAGATTAACAGGCAAATTAGGACTTCTATAAAAATCACACCTCAGACGGAGCCTATTTGTTCATTTGAAAAGAATCAAGTGACAAAGCCTTCTTTCCCGCTGTCTTTCCCCTTTTTTCTTCCTTCCCTCAATTTTGGCTCCACTATGATGCTTTAGGTTTCAGCACCAGCATATTCTGTTGGGAGTTCAGGGTCTGGCTAGTGGGACCCTTCAGGAAGATAACTTCACTGACTATGATCTCAGGGAGCCTGGCAGGCAGAGGAGCATCATGATCAGAGGGGAAAAGGAATGGATGCGGTCCAATCTGAAAGAATAAGGGAAGGTTGTGGGGACCACTCGGGGAAGGATAATGTGCTATGAGGGAGACGTGATTTCTCCTAAGCTGTCCTCCGGGGACAAACTTCCATTTTTCATCATTATCTGGGAGTAAAACTCCCCAGAGGCTCCTTCCTGCCTGGTAATAGGGGATGGGCTGCTGCATGGATACACAGAGCTGAGTTTCCCATGGTTTGCCTACATACCTGTGGGTGCACACCTGCGTGTCACGTGTATGCCTGCCCACACATACACACGCAACAGGTGAATGTGCAAAGCCTCTTGTCCAATAGTTCTCATGAGTGGCCTTAGATACCAAAATAATGAATATGACTTGCCTTTGTAGATTGTGTTCAAAAATATGGCCAGCCGACCCTATAGCATTTACCCTCATGGAGTGACATTCTCTCCTTATGAAGATGGAGTCAACTCTTCCTCCACCTCAGGTGAGAACCTTCCACTTCTACTGAAAGAGACTACTGATCTCTGAGAGACTTCCACAGTTTTCTCTTGTCCTGTTTGCTCAGTGGTTATGGCAAGTGCACTCAGTAATACTCGTGGAGGGGGGATCCTTAGAAATCCCAGGCAAACCCTTCTCACTTTAAAGGTTGCCAATACAATGCCTTTCTGAGTGTCGTTGGCGGCATCTAGTGGAGAAACACTGAACAGCTACACGCTGTCTGTAGTCAAGAGTTTAAGACAAAAAGAATATTTCTTTCCTGATATCCAATTACTCTAAATAAAAGCTAAGGTAGATATTTATTATGATGAAACAATGTCCCTAAAAATTAATAATGTATATTTTCTTTCAGGCAGTCACACCATGATCAGACCAGTTCAACCAGGGGAAACTTACACTTACAAATGGAACATTCTAGAGTTTGACGAACCCACCGAAAATGACGCCCAGTGCCTAACAAGGCCTTACTACAGTGATGTGGATGTTACCAAGGACCTCGCCTCTGGACTAATAGGTCTGCTTCTAATCTGTAAGAGCAGGTCCCTGGACCAGAGAGGCATACAGGTATTTTATCCTTAAAGTCAACTTTAAAATAGTGATTTCCCCTGGCTGGAGCAGATTTAGGTCTCCCTGCCAGACAAGAGGGTTTTTCCTTGTAAAATACACTGAACATCAGTCTTCTTTAGCAACAGTGTGATAATGTTTATCATCAGGGATCATCTTTTATGTTGTTGCTCTTTCTCTTTTCATCTAGACTCTCACTGCAGAAAGCACACCCCAAGTTGCTGGTTCTTATTTTGTTCCAAACCCCAGGCCTGTTGGTATTGCCTGTGTGATGGAGAAGCCAGTCAGGCTCTTTCAATTCTTTCCTCTGATCAAATAAGTGACCACGTCCCTCCTAGAACTGTGCTTACAGGGTGGCACAGGAGTTCCGTGTAGACGTGGTGCTCATCTTTGTTGTTTTCAGAGGCATGCGACAGAGAGAGGAGAGAGACTTTAGAGCAAGGACATTTGGAGCCACAGTTTGTCTTGTTTGGTTGCTTGGGGTTTTGTTGTTGTTGTTGCTGTTTGGTTGTTTGCTGTTTTGTTTTTGTTTTCGTTTTGTTCTGTTTGGTTTTTGAAACAGGTTTTCTCTGTGTAGCCCTGGCTGTCCTGGAACTCTCTCTGTAGAACAGGCTGGCCTTGAACTTGCAGAGATCCTCCTGCCTCTGCCTCCTGAGTGCTGGGATTAAAAGCGTGCACCACCACCGCCCAGCTGGAGCCATAGTTTTTAGTGAAGTTGGAGCCTGTCAAAAGTCTTTCTTTGGTAAGACTAATTTATAGCAAAGAATATGACCAAAGAGACGTTGAGTTTCTGAGTTTGTTTTATCTTGAGACAAGTGGCCTAGCTTGGCCTCAAATTCACTGTATGGGCTAGAGTGGCCTTGGACTTTTAAAAATTGTCTTGTCTTTCCAAATTTTAGTTTTTATTTTTATTTTATGTGTTTGGGTGTTTTGCTCGCGTGCATGTCTTCATACAGTGTGTATACCTGGTGCCCATAGAGGCCAGAAGAGGGCGCTAGATCCCCTGATACTGCTGTAGTTAAAGATGGTTTGTAGCTGGCATAGGGGATGATGGGAATCGAACCCAGGTCCTCAGACAGTGCCCTTAATCACTGAACCATCTCTCCAGCCTGCCCCCTTGTGTGTTTGTTGTTGGTTGTTTTGTTTTTGTTTTGGGACAGGTTTCTCTTGTAGTTCAGGCAGGCCTCAAACTGGTTATGTAACAGGGGATAACCTTGAACTTCGTGCCTCTCAAGTGCTGAGATTAGAGACATATGCCACTACACCAGGTATATATGGTGCAGGGGATTGAACCCAGGGCTTTATACATGCTAGGCAAACACTTTACCAACTGAACTACATCCCCAGCATCCTGAGTTTATCTTCATTGAAAATGAATAGTTTCAGCTGGGCAGTGGTGGTGCATGCCTTTAATCCCAGCACTTGGGAGGCAGAGGCAGGCTGATCTGTGAGTTCGAGGCCAGCCTGGTCTATACAGCAAGCTCCAGGAAAGGCACAAAGCTACACAGAGAAACCCTGTCTCGAAAAACCAAAAAAAAAAAAAAAAAAAAAAAAAGAGAGAAAAAGAAAATGAAATTGCCATTAGGCTAAATAATAGTGAAAGAAGTCTTATCCAAAGGCATGCAAAATAGGCAGATGTCTAGAAAAATCATAACACTTGCAAGATCCTGATTTGTTGACGGAGTAAAGGACACAGGGAAGAAGGGCACGAGGCTTTCCTCTTGCAGCCTTCTCCTCATCCTTTTCACCGTGTGGAACACAGTCAGTCACTCATTTTGAAAAGTGCTCAGGCATGGACATGCACTAACTTACAGGCGCTGGACCGAGATAGCGTTTTCTCCCATGGGTGTCTTTGCCTGCATTCTCTGACCTCTTCTGGTTGCTTTCACATGTTAGCTTTATCTCTGACAAGTACTTGGTACGTAATGGGCTGACATGTGGCTTCCGTGACCTCAGCGACAGCGGGGGGCCTAGGCAGGCACCTGGAGCTTTAATCACTGCCTTTCCCTCCAGAGGACAGCAGACATTGAGCAGCAGGCCGTGTTTGCTGTGTTTGATGAGAACAAGAGCTGGTACATTGAGGACAACATCAACAAGTTTTGTGAAAATCCTGACGAGGTGAAACGCGATGACCCCAAGTTTTATGAATCAAATATCATGAGCAGTAAGTCGGAGCCCCTGTTTCTATCCGTCCTTTTCACTCTGGTGGATGCAGTGTGTCTTTTACCCAAAGGCAAAGGATGTGATGTCAGCAGCAAAAATGTGATGACGTTATCCTCTCTCAAAGGCAGCCAGCCCCTCCTCTGCTCACTCGTGGTCCAAGGACTTGGCGACAGGATGCCTGACAGCCAGCGCCACAAAGTTTCCAAGTCTGGTGATCCTTTCAGGCAGCGTGGCTCCTGCTTCCAAGTGTGTGTGTGTGTGTGTGTGTGTGTGTGTTTGTGTGTGTGTGTGTGTGTGGTGTGATGTGTGTGATATGATGTGTGTGTGTGTGTATAGTGTGATATATGTGGTATGATGTGTGTGTGTGTGTGTATGTGTGTATGTGTGTGTGTGTGTGTGTGGTGTGATGTGTGTGTGTGTGTGTGTGTATGTGGTGTGATGTATGTGGTATGATGTGTGTGTGTGTGGTGTGATGTGTGTGTGTGTGTGTGTGTGCGTATGGTGTGATGTGTGTGATATGATGTGTGTGTATATATGTGTGTGTATGGTGTGATATATGTGGTATGATGTGTGTGTATGTGGTGGGTGTGTATGTGTGGTATGTATGTGTGGTGTGTGTGTGGTGTGATGTATGTGGTATGATGTGTGTGTGTGTGTGTGTATGGTGTGATGTATGTGGTATGATGTGTGTGTGTGTGTGTGTGGTGTGATGTGTGTGGTATGATGAGTGTGGTATGTGTGTGTGTGTGTGTGGTGGGTGTGTATGTGTGGTATGTATGTGTGGTGTGTGTGGGGCGGTGTGGTATGTGTGTGTGATGTATGTATGGTGTGTATGTATGTGTGTAGTAGTATTTGCTCCACCCATAACCTTGGGCTATATGGCCCAAAGGAGGTGGTGCTTCTTGCCATGGTATATGGTGACCTCTTAAAAGGAAAGGAGAGAGGGGACATGTGTTTCCTTCCTCATTTTTTTTTCTTTTTTTTTAAGACAGCAAGAAGTACCGCCTCCTTCAGGCCATATAGCCCAAGGTCATAGCCAGAGCAGTGTGTGTATGTGTGTGTGTGTGTGTGTGTGTGTGTGTGTGTGTGTGTGTGGTATGTTATGAGATGTGTGGTCAGTGTGTGTGATGTGTATGCAGTGTGATGTGTGTATGTGGTGTGTGTGTGTGGTTGTGTGTGTGTGTGGTTGTGTGTGTGTGTGGTATGGTATGTATATGTGTGTTTAATTGTGTGGTGTATGTGTTTCAGTGTTCATGCTCTAGGAAGTGATGAAGGCTGGGAGGAAAGGCACTGAAGGCCTTGGTCGGTGGTACCTGAGGATTTTAGAAATGTGCATGGCGAATACCCTCTAGCTGACCAGACAGAAATAAGATTTTTTTTTAAAAGGAAGCTTCACTCTCAAATCAGAGCCAAGCAAAGTGAGTTTGGGAACCGAGTGTCGTGTCATGAAAAGGCAGTGCATGCAGAGGTCACGCATGCAGAGGTCATGCATGCAGAGTTCTGAAGAGAAAGTGCAGAGCTGTACTTCTGACACTTGCTACAATTCCAAAGTTCATTGTCATGAGAAGTCTTAGATGAATTTCACTGTGGCATCCGCAAACAATCCCCCCCCAACAACCAGTGTTCCCCCCAACACACACTTCCTCAAAATAAAAAGCCTCCTTCTGACACCTTTCCTGATGAGTAATCATGTCCATGCAGGTGGCTTCCCACGGCCTGTTCACGTAGCTTCAGGACCGATGGGTGCCACATTCAGACTTCTTCACATAATTTCCTTTCAGCAATGGGTCTGTGACAGCCCTAGACCAGTGCTGCCCAACAAAAGTATGTGAGTCACTTACATTCAACTTTCTGGTAAATTGAAAAGTGAAGAGAAATAAGTGAAATTAATTAGAATAATAAATACCCAGTTTGGAATATTCCAGATACTATCTTTTTTGTTCTTGTTTTGAGATAGGGTCTCATTATGTAAAGATATTACAATTTTAAGTTTAAAAAAAATATGGGATTTGCTTTATTACTGTCTTTGCAGTACAGGGTGTATTTAATCCTTAAAGCACGTGTCAATGGAGTTCACCTACATTTCAAACACACAGTAGCCACTGTAGCTGGTGTCCATAATACTAGATCATTTAGAAAAGTATCTGGAATGAAGTAGAAACTAATAACACACCCTTTCAGCAACTCAACGTGTATTTGATATATAATCACTTAAATTTGTTTTTTTGTATCAAACACCATACTGGGACTGTGACCTGGGTGTACAGGTTGTGCCCTCAAGTAAATCATATCTTAATTGGATTGCCACGCTCAGTACATATATAGATAAAGATATTACCCAAAGTGGTGTTCCTTTAAAAGTTATTAAAATATATGAGCTCAATACTTGAATGGAAACTACTAGGTTAACTGTGGGTTACAGATAATAGGTCTCAATGACAAATGTGCCTAGTAAGCTCCTTTTTTTGGGACTTTCATTCTTACTCAAACTACTATGTCAAGAAAATAAAGTTCTCTTATGTAGACATGTCTTCCTGGTAGGCTCATTTTGGACAATCTAAATCAATTATGAGAATATATTTACAGCAGAGCATAAGGTAACATTTTCTATTCACTTGGTGGATGAATGACTAAATCAGTGTGAGTGAAAGGCTTTGCCTTTATCTTGATTTTCCTCCCTCAGCTACCTCAGGAGCATTGGCCATCACTTGAGAAGCTGAATGTGCCCTACTCACACATTAGATCTCAGAAAGCTTATCTTTAATAATTATTGTTTTGATGCAGCCAGATGACTACAGGGGCATTTGTCTTAGGTATAACTAGACACGAGTCCTCTTGTTGTTCAGGGCTGGCATCTGACAGATTTTGCTCTTTCAGCTATCAATGGCTACGTGCCTGAGAGTATCTCCACTCTGGGATTCTGTTTTGATGACACTGTCCAATGGCACTTCTGCAGCGTGGGAACTTACGACGGTATCTTGACCATCCACTTCACTGGACACTCATTCATCTATGGAAAGAGGCACGAGGACACATTGACCCTGTTCCCCATGCGTGGCGAATCCGTGACTGTCACAATGGATAATGTTGGTGAGTAAGAGTGTAGATATTTGGAGAGAACACTGATGGGCTCTCAGGTGGAAAAGGTCTGTGGAGCTATCCAGATTACCACCACGCCTAGAGTGTCTCCAGGACCCCCGAAGGCTTGTCTTACCCTGCTTCTCATGGTTTATAGTTGGGAAATTAATGGCTTACATAGAGCCAGTTTCATGCCAGTTCTGTTTGCACGTCTCTGGAACGACTGGGCAGTAAAGCCACACAATGGCAGAAAGACAAATATAGCCAAATGAAGAAGCAGCATAAAGATATTAGCCATGAAAACAACCTTTGGTGTCATTCCCCAAGTGTTATTGACCTTTTTATGAAACACGAGCATGGAATTTGCCAAATAAGCTACAGATACTGTCCAGGGGGCCACCAAGGACCCGCCTATATCCACCTCCCCAGAATTGGTATTAAAAACATGGACTACCATGCCTGATTTTTTTTTAACATGGATTCTGAGGATCAAACTCCGGTCCTTGTGCTAGCTGAGCTATCTCCTCAGCCCCACTCTTCAACTTCCGTTTGGAGACCATCCCACCTTCGGGTGACCAATCATTACATAAGCTCTGGAGGCTGTCTCAGAGATAGCATTAGCATAGAAGACTTAACTTCAAATCCTGTTCTGCCACTCAATGTTTTGCAACGTTAGACAGGTTCCTTGCCCTGACTAAGCCTGAAGTCACCCATCTGAAAAGCATGGCAGCCCTTTACAATTGCTTTAGCTCCTAGTTGTAAGTTGTGCCTAGTGCCTAGCCCTCAACAAGGGGTTGCATTGGCGACATCCCAGGTCATTCTTAGTGTGTCTGCGATTCACTTTCAAAATGACTCAAACTTACCCTGTCCCCACATACAGTATTTCTTAGAAACACCTAAATATCCCTTCTTTGTGGGAAGATGACCTCACCATCATCTCTCAAACTCCAAGTCTCAGACCAAATGCACAACTAAGCAGATGGTGATGACTTTCAAGGTCCCTTTCATCACCGATTTCCCCTCTTTTCTTGATAGATTCTAAAATGGCAATTCATGAACAATCCAAACCGAAGGTCTCTTTGTTTCTCCTTAATCTCCACAGACAAATACTTTAGTGCCAAGTTCTGTTAAAAACCTGGGCAATAAGGACAATGATCCTGCATTTTGATATCCAAACAATGTCAAGTTACATTTTAAAAAATTCCTAAACACCCCTTTTGATTTTTCTCCTTACATCACTGTGGCTCAGTAACTCACCATTCATAGACTAGCCTGGTCCATAACTCACACATGGCTGCCTCTGGTTAAAATTCACTAGACATTAGGAGAGATGGCTCAGAGGTTAAGAGCACTGACTGCTCTTCCAGAGGACCCAGGTTCAATTCCCAGTGCCCACATGCCAGCTAACAACTGTCTGTAACTCCAACATCTGACACCTTCACACAGATATACATGTAGGCAAAGCACCAATGCACATAACATAAAAATAAATAAGTTATTTTTTCTAAAAAAATTCACTAGAAATTGTTTCTTCAACAGATCCTGGTGTTTTTGTAACTTGTCCTGAGCTTTCAACCTTCTCTTCTGTCTCTCCTTTGAAGGAACATGGATGTTAACTACCATGAATTCCAATCCAAGACACAAAAACCTAAGGCTGAGATTCAGGGATGTTAAATGTATCCGGAATGATGATGATGAAGACTCATATGAGATTTATGAACCTTTGGCACCTACCTCCATGACAACCCGGAAAATTCATGAATCTTCAGAAAATGAGTTTGGCATAGACAGTGAAGATTATGATTACCAGTCTATACTGGCTTCATCACTAGGAATTAGGTCATTCAGAAACTCATCATTGACTCAGGAGGAAAATGAGTTCAATCTTACTGCTCTTGCTCTAGAGAACAGCTCCGAGTTCATCTCTCCAAGAACAGACAGAGTTAATGACTCAAAATCTTCCCCAAGAAACTTTAGTGGGATCCCTGCTAATGACCTCGAAGAATCTCAAAGAACCCTTCCTGGCTCAGGAGCCGCCGTGACTGGTACCCTCCTGAAGGACCTCACCAGCTTAGATGAGAACTCAGTTCTCAACCCTTCCACAGAACATCATTCCAGCTCATATTATGAAAATGAGATGAATGATTCACAATCAGACATCACGGTGGTTCACCTACTTCCTCTTGGAGCAAAAGGATTGGTGAGCCAAGAACAGGCTAAGCATAAAACAGCCAAGAGGGAAAGACTCCATCTGATGAAGCATAGGTTCCCCCAGATGAAATCACCAGCCCGTAAAACTGCGAGGCATGCAAACCCAAAGAATACTTACCCCAGAACCAGGTCCAGGGAGGACATTCCTAGTGATTTGTTCCTCTTAAAACAAAAGAACACATCCAATTTCTTGGATAGGGAATGGTATTTGGCTTCTGAAAAGGGTAGTTATGAAATAATACCAGCAAATGGTGAAGACACAGCTGTGGATAAGTCACCAGACAACCCTCAAAATCAGAACATCTCAATGACTTTGGGCAATAGCACCTCCCCTACAAAAATAACAGGAAAGCCAGGTGACTTCCCAGTGTTTCCTGGAGTTAGACATAAATCTCCACAAGTCAGACAGGAGGAAGGAAACAGTGACTTAAAGAAAAGACAGTTGTTCATCAGGACACGAAAGAAGAAGAAGGATAAGAAGGTTGCATCCCATAGCCCTCTATCTCCAAGGGGCTTTCATCCCCTGAGAGATGCCAAGCCTACATTTTTAGACCAGAGACTTAATCACTCACTGTTACCCTACAATCCCAATGAAACAACTCTTGCCATAGACCTGAATCAGACCTCCCCTTCAACGAATATTGACAGGTCACTTCCTGACCATAATCAGAGCTCCCCACATGACCCCGGGCAGATAACCTCTTTAGATCTGTATCAGTCAGTGCCCCCAGAGGGACACTCTCCAACATTTCATGTCCAGGATCCTGATCAAGTACACTCTACCACAGACCCTAGTCACAGATCCCCTTTTCCAGAGCCCAGCCAGGGGCTTGATTATGACCTAAGCCATGAATCCTACCCTGAAGACATTGGTCAAACAGCCTTCTTTCCAGACCAAAGTCAAAAGTCTCTCTCTTCAGAAGATGGCCAAACAATTCCATCCTCAGACTTAAGCCTCTTTGGCATCTCTCCAGAGTTGGATCAAATAATTATTTCTCCAGACTTGGGTCAGGTGGCCCTTTCTCCAGATGACAACCAGATGACCTCCCCTGAGGACCTGGGTCAGGTGGCCCTTTCTCCAGATGACAACCAGATGACCTCCCCTGAGGACCTGGGTCAGGTGGCTCTTTCTCCAGATGACAACCAGGAGGCCTCCTCCCCAGACCTGGGTCAGGTGCCACTTTCTCCAGATGACAGCCAGGAGGCCTCCTCCCCAGACCTGGGTCAGGTGCCACTTTCTCCAGATGACAACCAGGAGGCCTCCTCCCCAGACCTTAGCCTCTTGACTCTTCCTCCAGAATATGATCAGACAGTCCTTTCTCCAGATTTCAATCAGATGACCCTCTCTCCAGACTTTGATGAGATAATCCTATCACAGGACCTCAGTCAGGTGACCCTCTCTCCAGACCTCATCCAGACAAGCCCCCCTCTTAACCACAGGCAAAAAACAGCCTCTTCAGATCCTGGTCAAGCATCCTACCCTTCAGATTCTGGTCAGTTTTCACCCCTTCCAGAACTAAACCAGACTCTTCCCCATCCAGATCTCATTCACATACCTTCTCCTTTACCATCACCCACACTCAATAGCACTTCTATGTCAAAGGAGTTCAACCCTCTTGTTGTAGTAGGTCTCAGTAGAGTCGATGGAGATGACGTTGAAATTATTCCAGATGAACAGCTAGAAAGCATTGACGATGATTATGCTGAAGATTACTATGTATCCTATAATGACCCCTACAAGACAGACACCAGGACAAATATTAACTCCTCCAGAAATCCTGATACTATTGCAGCGTGGTACCTCCGCGGCCATCGTGGAAACAAACAATACTATTTTATTGCTGCGGAAGAAATATCCTGGGATTATGCAAAATTTGCCCAAAGGTTTGGCTAGTTTTCTCTCTTTATAGTCTCATTTTTCCACCACTGCCATGAAAGTCACCCACAGCAGTTCTTGGGAGATGATTTTGGACAAACTGGGCTCTAGATAGTCTAAGTCTCATGTTTCAACCGGGCCTGTGATATTTCCTTTGTCATTTCCAGTATTAGCTTCTACACTTTAGATGACACCCAGGCAAACAAAGAACCAATACTGTGGAAGTCTGTGGTATTCTATGGGTAAATCAGTCTCTCCTCCTGTCTCACATCCTCTTACATGCTCCTATCCCTGTTTCTTGTTCTAACACACACCTTTACCTATGCATAGCTATCTGCTTAACAATACGGTTTATGTGAGGTTGGCTTCCAATCCAAACTTTAATGTAGAAATCTCCATTTGCATCGACTTGCTAACAGCAGTTTCTAAGAGATCCATTTACTCCTTTATTTTTAATCTCATTTCAATTCAGTGTCACTGAGGGATGGAAGCCACACTGGGCTGGGCCCTGTGTTCTGGGATGAAAACAGAGAAGAATGGGGCAAGAATCGTTAGTCAACTACAGATTCATTGGGATATATCTGGGTGACTGTGTACCATAAACAGCTTGTGGTGGCTAAAAAAGGCTGCCACACTAATATTTTAGAAGTGTAATTATAGTAGGCAAACACAATGTACATTGAGACTGATCCACCTCGAATTATGCATGTAGTGACTGGCATTCCTCTTTAGAATTTTTGTTTAAAATGCTTTCCCTTATGATTTTTCACTTAAATGCAGTGCTCATTACTACACGGGAATAAAGTAGTTATCTGACTATTTCTAAGATGAGCCTTGGCAAGACAGGATTGTAGCCTTTACACAGACTAGAAAGAATGGGAGGCAGTTCCTTCATAATCTTCCATCTCAGGCCTGACAGTGGCTCTTAGGGCTGGCAGGTTGTTCTGCCTGCTCCGTGTGTTTGGTGAGAGATGGCTATTATGCATTTGGAGGATGAGTTGGGGGCTTATTTCCATAGACTTGGGGAGATTTAAGTCTATAAGAGAATTTGATGTCCTTTGGCCTCTTGCTGAATGGAAAAGACGCGTGGGAATAATGTATTGGATTTATATTTTATTAAGCTTTTTATTTTGAGATAATTGTGGAGTCACACAGCTGTCATAAATTACAAATATTCCTTGTATGCTTTACCTGGTTGCCCCCAGTGGTAGCCTCTTAGAAAACTATAATATACTATTAACAGTATATAGACCTTGCTGCTGTCATGAGAGAGAACATTTACACACACACACACACACACACACACACACACACACACACACACTCATGCCTCATACTTCTCTTGTGTGTATCATCCACTTCCCTCCCACCATACTCCTCCTTAACGCCACAGTCACTGGTCAGATCAGTGTTCCTGTCATCTTGACATTTCATGAAAATTGTGTCATGCCACATGTGATCTCGGGGGACTGGCTTTTTTCCACCACTACACGTAATTCTCCGGAGATTCATGCTCGTTATTGCACACTTTACCAGATCATTCTACTGCTCAGCAGGATTTCACATGACATGCACGAGTTTTGTTTTTGTTCCTGCTGTTTGTATAGACTGGTGGGGCCAAACATGAGGGGTTTCAACACATGTGCAAGTACCCCAAGCTAATGGACACATACATCATACACTTACTTTCTATTAGAGAACCCTTAAAACTTACTCTTGCCGATTTTCAAGGCTGTACTACAGAATGATTAATCATAGTTGTCACGTCGTATAGTGGATCTCCTGAAGTGACTTTTGCTCTCTAAATGAAATTTTGTATCTTTTTACCAACATCTTCCCAGTCTGCTTCCCTCAAAGTCCCCCCTGGTAACCACTCTGTCTGTGTGAGTTTTTGTCTTTCTGTGCCTGGCTCATTTCATTTAGCAACACAACAAATTTTTCTTCTTTGTAAAGGCTGTATCATCTCTCTCTCTCTCTCTCTCTCTCTCTCTCTCTCTCTCTCTGTATGTGTGTGTGTGTAATTTTCTTTATCCATTCATCCATTGATAGATACTTAGGTTGATTATGCTTTGGGGCATATATTGTTATAAACAATGCTGTGATAATGTAGCCGTTTCTTTGATGTACAAGTTTCACCTTCAATTCTGTGGCCCAAAATGAGATTTCCAGCCAGGCATTGTGGCACATTTTAATCCCAGCATTCGGGAGACAGAAGCAGGCAGATCTCTGTGAGTTCAAGGCCAGCCTGGTCTATATAGTACAGCAACTTCTAGGCTAGCTCGTCCTGCCAGTGAAACCCCATCTCAAAAAAAAGAGAGAAAGAAAGAAAAAGGAAGGAAGGAAGGATGAAAAGAGACTGAAATGTATATTCAGCTCTATTTTTATTTTTGTGAGAAACCTCTGTACTATTTCTCATAATGTGCTATAAATTTATTTAGATTTACATTTTTTTCAGTTTTAAAGGGTTTCCTTTTCTCCATATGCTTATCAACTCTTATCTCTTGTTCCTATAATCACCATCTTAACATTAAAAGTGGTATCCTTGGGATTTTCACTTTCATTTTTTGATTATTAATATGAGCATTTTATGTACTTGTTGGCAATTTCTAAGTCTTTTGATAATATATCAAAAATTTATATATATAAAATGTATGTTACTATATTACTATATTTGTTTACTAATTATTAATAATAATGTATATGTGTGTTCTTTGCCTATTATTAATCAATATTTTTGCTACTAATTTGTTTGAGTTCCTTATATATTGTAGATAGTGATTCCTTATCAGATACATGCTTATCAATATATGTTCTCCCATCATATAGATTGTTTCTTAATTCTCTTGACTATTTCCTCTGTTGTGCATAAACTTCAGTCTGATATTGCATGAACAGAATTCCATCTGTCCATTTGTGGTTTTTTTTTTTTTTTTTGGTTTTTCGAGACAGGGTTTCTCTGCGTAGCTTTGCGTCTTTCCTGGAACTCGCTTTGGAGACCAGGCTGGCCTCGAACTCACAGAGATCCATCTGCCTCTGCCTCCCAAGTGCTGGGATTAAAGGCGTGTGCCACCACCACCCGGCTCCATTTGTGTTTTATTACCTGTAATTCGAGAGTCCTATCATGAAAATTTTTGCTCAGACCAGTGTCTAAAAGCTTATGGTTAATATGTTTTAATAAAAATCAAAGCTAAGACTGGCCATTCAGGGTAAAAGACATTTATCTATCCAATTGTCTTCATGCGGGTGATCTTCTGATTTAGCTGATCATCATCTGACAGCTCCCAGCTCTGGCACTAACCATTGAATGATTTTGTCTGTCTTTGGTGTCAAAATTTTTGCTACTATATTGTTATATTTGTTTATTAATTTAGGTACTTGACAAAAGTATATTAAGTGCCTACCGTATGCCAAATAACATGCTAAGAATTGGAGAAAGTATCATGAGCAGGCTGGGAAGAATACTTGGCCTCATAGGACTTACTCCTTAGTGGCAGAGCAAGATATTAATAGATCTCTCATGTCTTATATAACTTTTATACATACTATAAAATTACTATAAGAGTTTACTGTGTAGACAATAATAATTTTATATATATATATATGTATATATATTTGTGAAGTACTTGACCTAGTCCAAGAGATCCAGGAATCTTACCTAAGAAATTATATTTGAGCTGGAAATTAAAACATATGTAGTCACCTGTGTTTTCATTTACATATATTCATTAACTTATACATGAAGTGTTTATTAAATATTCTATGTTGGTTACCAAACAGATTCTTTCCTAAATTCTTTTTAAACTTTTCATTTTTATTTTATGTGCATATATGAGTGTCTGAATGTATATATGTGAGCTGTGTGTGTGTGCCTGGCACCCTCAAAGGTCAGAATATCCCCTAGAACCAGAGTTACAAGTGGGTTATAAGCTGCCCACAGTGGATGCTGGGAACCAATCCTAGGTCCTCTAGAAGAGCAGCCAGTGCTCTTAACTGCTGATCTATCTCTCCTGGATTTTCCCAACAGTCTTTAATTTCTTTTTCTTTAATGAATGCTATTGCTATCATTTTAGTGAAATGGACAATGAAGACACTGATGGCATTCCAAAGGACACCACATACAAGAAAGTTGTTTTCAGAAAATACCTTGACAGTACTTTCACCAGACGTGATCTTCAAGGGGAATATGAGGAGCATCTTGGTATTCTGGGTCCTGTTATCCGAGCTGAAGTGGGCGATGTGATCCAAGTAAGTCATCACTTGAACCCTCTAAATCTTCAGGGATTTGCCACAGCACCCACGTTGTTAAGGTGGAGGCATCAAAACTACAGGTAGTTTGCTCCCCAAAATTAATAAATAGCTGCATTTTTCCACCAAAGACTGCTTGGCTATTTGACAATTTTTGAGATTTAAAAAAAAAATCTTAGACTTTTTAACCCTGAAAACTGTTTAATCTGGACGAGGTGACACTGGAGTTCCTAGCTGATGCCAGCCTGTTTTGAGCTAACAGAATGATTCAACTGTGTTCCATGGCGGAAGTAGTGGCAGCAAGAACAGTAATTTATAAACATGTCCCGGTGTTTTCTTAAGAGGCAATATGATGAAATGAAAGGAAACTAGAAAGTAAAGATGTCTCTTGCCCTAAAAGGGTGAGCCAGTTTAAATATTTTACCAAGCTTGTCAAAAACTGGTCATTTCAAAACCCTGCATCCAGTTCTTCTGTCCTTCATATCAAACAAAGAAAACAATAATAACAATAAACAAAACACAGGAAAAATGCCCTGCATCTAAAGAGTATTCTATGTCCAAAAACATAACCTTTTACCTGTGCGGGTATCTGCCAATTTGCCAATGACCATTTGTTCCTTTTCAAAAGGCACCTAGGGGGTGGGGAAATGGCTCAGTGGGTAAAGAGTAATCACTTACTTAGCATGTGATATGCAAGATCCTGGCCTTGAACTCCCACACAGCAAAACCAATCAATCCAGCATAGAAGGCGATGGAAATCTGGGTTAGTCAGCTCTGTTGCTGTGATAAGCGATCTGAGAGAACAACCCAAAGGAGGAAAACCTTCTTTTAGCCCACGGTTTCATTAACAGTTGCTTGAGTTCTTCACTTTGGGTCTTGCATTAAATCAGGTAATGTGCATAAATTAATTTGCAGTTATAGGCACCCAGTACACCTTAACTGATATCATAACCACCTGTCACAGCCTACAGTGCTGACAAGTTTTGGTTTGGTATGTTAATACATTTGTGGGTCACTTTTTTTTTTTTCTTCTTCTTCTTCTTCTTCTTCTTCTTCTTCTTCTTCTTCTTCTTCTTCTTCTTCTTCTTCTTCTTCTTCTTCTTCTTCTTCTTCTTCTTCTTCTTCTTCTTCTTCCTAGGTTCGCTTTAAAAATTTAGCATCCAGACCATATTCTCTTCATGCTCATGGACTTTCCTATGAAAAGTCCTCTGAGGGAAAGACTTATGAAGATGACTCTCCTGAATGGTTTCAGGAAGACAATGCTGTCCAGCCCAATAGCAGTTATACGTATGTGTGGCATGCCACTGAACGTTCTGGCCCAGAGAACCCTGGCTCTGCATGCCGGGCTTGGGCCTACTACTCTGCAGTCAATGTGGTAGGTTTCAAGTTCTGATCTCTTTCCTCACCATATAGCCACAGTTCATTGTTTCCTTGTAAAAGCCTCTCCTACAGGCTGATGGGTGGTGGCACACACCTTTGAACCCAGCATTCAGGAGGCAGAGGTAGGCAGATCTCTGTGAGGCCAGCCTGGTCTACAGAGTGAGTTCCAGGACAGCCAAGGCTATGTAGACAAATCTTGTCTCAAGAAAAAGAAAAAAAAAAAAAGACCTCCTTTGCTTTTCATGGGACATGTGACAGGGCTGTCATTCACAGTATGGCTGCCATAGCCAAGGATTCTCCACACAGTTCATCAGATGTGGCACCGAGAAAAGTGTTCATTCAATGGACATCATGGGGATTACATAAGTGAATGATCTAAGTGTGCTTACAAAGAACTGTGCCTGTTTGCAATTTCAAAGTAGTATAGTCTTAAGCCAGGCTTTGTGGGTCTTCAGGAGGTAGGGAGGGCACAGGGAAGGACTGAGCCAACTGTGTGGGCACAGATCACATGCTGGGGTTGGGAGTTTAAGGAGGAAATTTTTTCCCTGCTCCACTTAGGTCATGAGGAGATTAAATGTGTTACTTAATGAGTAGCCTTTGCTAATAAAGGACAATATGATAAGAAGTCAGCCCTGTTCTAAGCTAAATAAGGACACAGGGAGGAGGCTGTGGTGTTCCCAGAGGAATAATCCAGGCACATTCCTGTCCAACTCCCACAGGAAGGTGGGAACAATAAGTTTCTCTGGGCAGACTAGCAACTGCGTTGATCACGACAAGCTGTGCCTACCCCCTGTCTTCTTGGCTGGCCTTGGGCACCCAGGAAACCCAGAAAGGAAGCCTGTATCCATGCAGTCCCCACTGGACACTCAGCGGCCTTCTTTCCCCCTGACCTTCAGACAAAGAAGCCTTTTGTACAGCGAGACACCCAAACACAGGTGGCTGAGGACTCTACCCAGGTTCACAGCCAACAAAACACAAAGCCCTCTCCAGCCCTCCGCCAGGCAAAGGGCAGCTTGGGTTCAGATTTGCCCCCAAAGGTGTCTTTGCTAGTGCAAGATATCTGGAAAGTTTCCTGGGGTTCCTCTTTGTCCCTGAACAAGTGGTTTAGGCCGATTTCTACCAGGATCAGGTGGGCCAGAGGTCTCCGACACTTTTTGGAAGCAGGTAGGGGTGGGTCAAGGCCATCACAGGCCTACTTCATGTAAAAGGCCTCTCAAGTAACAAGGGAACACAACCCATATCAAGGGCAGAGGGGTCCCTGAGGAGCCTCCTGAACCCAGTGCTACAAGAAATATCGTGCTGGGGTTGGGGATTTAGCTCAGTGGTAGAGCGCTTGCTTAGCAAGCGTAAGGCCCTGGGTTCGGTCCTCAGCTCAGGAAAAAAAAAAAAAAAGAAAGAAAGAAAGAAAGAAAGAAAGAAAGAAAGAAAGAAAGAAAGAAAGAAAGAAAGAAAGAAAGAAAGAAAGAAAGAAATACCATGCTTGTCTCTGGCCATCTAGGACCCCCTGAACACTGGTGGCACTCCTGGGGAAAGGCACTCAGACATGAAATATCCAGGGCTGCCATGCAGGTATCAAGCTTCTGCTTACTTCCCTGCATCCCTTGGGGACCAGACACCCAGACACAGCACAGCATAGGCTGAGTTAGCCTCATGGGCAAGGGTAAAGGGAACAAGACCTAGCCACCCAGCCCTTGTGCCACCCTATCATGGAGGATGCAGTTCCCTACTGTACCCCACACACACCCAGCTGGCCCTCTGGGTGAAGCAGAAGGCTTTGACTCTCAAAATTCTTTTTGAAGAGTATTTATAAGCTTTTATACGCTGTTCACTGAAAATTCAAAGATCCCTCATTAATCATTCTACAATATATGCGTTGTTCAAAACATGCTTCATGTAGTAAATACACATGTGTTTTTCAGTGAAGAGAGAGTCCTTCATTTTGGGGGATAGTAGAAAGCACAGACTCAGTTTCTTACTTATTTGTTGATGGTGTTGTTTGATGCTTTTTTCAATACTGAGCACCAAACCCAGGGCCTCCTATGTGCTCACAGATACTCTACCATTGACACCCACCCCTCCCCAAACACATGTGCTTCTTGGCTTGGATGTAAATTCCCATCTGTCACTATAGGAGCACTAAGAAAATAATTTGCCCTTCCTTAATTTCAGGTTCTAAAATTAAAGAATAAGATAAGAGCTGTGCATGGCAGCAAAGATCTGTAATTCCAGCAGCTCAGGAGGCTGTGGGATTGGCTCAGAGTGTTTTTAAGGATGGTCTGAGTGATTTAGTGAGCTCCTGACTTTAAAAAAATAAAAAGAGGCTGAGAAGGGAAATCAATTCACTTCCCAGTACCAAAACAGAGAGGGAGAGAAGGAAGGGAGTGTGGGGAGGTTAGCAGACACATGTTCAGTGAGTGTATTTCCATTTGCCATTTGGGATAGTTGTCAAGATTAAATGAGCACCTATAGGCAAAGCCTTTAATACAGCATAGATGCTCAACAAATGGTATCCATTCGGTAGTCAATTTTGTTCTTATTGCTCAGATAAAGGTTCACTATCCAAGCTTATTCTTTACTGATCTTCAAGTTTGGAACCTCTTAGATGAGATTTCCTTTTGTGTAAGAATCATGGTTGTCAGAAGAGAAAAAAAAAATATCCTGATGAAAGGAAAGTGTTTGCAGTTTGCTCTTCTTGTCTTTCAGGAGAAAGACATCCACTCGGGCTTGATTGGCCCCCTTCTGATCTGCCGGAAAGGAACACTTCACCCAGAGAGCAACCTGCCTATGGACATGAGGGAATTTGTCTTACTCTTTATGGTCTTTGATGAAAAGAAGAGTTGGTACTATGAAAAGTCCAATAGGTCATGGAGAATTGAATCTCCAGAAGTGAAGAATTCTCATGAGTTTTATGGTATTTTTCCTCTGACTTTAATCTGCTCTCTGATTAAACCTCACCAGGTCACATAATTCTTGCCCTGAGATCTTCACAAGATTAAACCTTAGGTGTTCCAGAGGAGTCAGGAGCATTACTTAAGCCTGGCTCCTCAGCATCCTGGAGAGAGGCTCTGGCCCATAGGAAACCCCCTAAAGAGCATAGAGAGACTGCAGGATAGTGCACACTGGCTGCTACCAGACAACCTAAAACTGACCAACAAGAAAATGGGCATTGTGCTCCAGATGGCAACATACATAGGAGTGGGCATGGTATCACTCTGCTCTTTAAGACACTAATGACCTTGTTTCCTGTTGTCTAAAACAATTAGTATTCACACTAAGAAATGATCATCCATGTGTCTCTTCTGAAATCAGAGTGGCTATAGCAGTTCCTGGACCCAGAAGTTTTTCCAGTACTGCTCAGCCCCACGGTCGGGATGAATATCTCCCACCCATGTCCAACAGCCACTTGGTCCCAAGTAAACCCACAGTGGCTTATATTATTTGCAAACTGTATGGCCCATGTTGGGCGCCAAATGTAGGCAGAAGTTTCTTGGTCCCAGCCCTGCAGTCCCCCAGTCCCTCAGTCCCACAGCCATTTATAAATAAGCACTCAGAGGCTTATATTAATTATAAACTGCATGGCCTGTGGGTTAGGCTTCTTGCTAGCTAGCTCTTATAATTTAATTCAACCCATTTCTATTAATCTATATGTTGCCACATGGCCATGGTGTTACGGTCTGCTGGCATCTTGTTGTTCCTTGGGCATCAGGCTGGCATCTCCTTGACCTCCTTTCTTCTCCTCTCTCTTCAATTCGAATGTACTGCCTACCCTTATTCTGCCTCACCATTGGCTAAGCAGCTTTATTTACCAACCAATCAGAACAACACATATTCACAGAGTACAGAAAGACATCCACAGCAAGTTCTATCTCTTGGCATCCACAGGCAGCATTTATACTAGGATATGAGGATTAAAGGAACCAGGACTCTAAACAGCCAGGCTACAGGATACTGGCAAGACAGGCTATACTTAGGAGGTCACATTGGGGAAAGTATCTCCATTCAGAAGTCCTCTGAGGAATGTAAAATTACAAATAAATTTCAAAACAAATAAATTATAAAAAGGGCAGAATGAAGGGTTTAGTGCCCAGCAGAGAGAACAACAGTTAGAAATCAGAAGAAAACAAAGACTCATGAATGGTAAGATGGCTCAGAAAGTAAGAGCACTTGCTTCCAAACCCGAGGACCACTCCCCCAAAACTGCATGGTGGAAGGCAAGAACAGATTCCCACAAGGTGTCCTCCAACCTCCACATACAGGCCATAGGCAGGTGTGTGTGTGTGTGTGTGTGTGTGTGTGTGTGTGTGTGTGTGTGTGTGTGTGTGTGTATGCACATGCAAACACTCAAAGTAAAAATAAATGTAAAAACAAATGAGAGACAACTGAGGCCTGTTTTCACAGTTTGAAAATGAAGGTCATTGTTCTGAAGTTTCTGATTAGCAAGAACCTATGCTTTAGGTAATGAGTCTGTCAGAATACTGGGGGAGGAGAAAGATGCACATGTCTGACATCACAATACTCTAAAGGCCAAGGTAGGAGAGCTGAAAGTTGGAGACAAGTCTGAGCTATACACTGAGACCTTGTCTCAAAGAATAGATAATAAATAAATAAACAAATAGTGTAGATCAAGATATTTTTATAGTATGCTCTTAGATGGCACCTCTAGTTTAGTCATTGAGGCTAGGTAGATATTGTCTCCCTCTATCATTGACATGTACAAGGCACACTTCTTATATACGTGGCCTTACTTCTAGGAGAAGTTCAATAATGATAAATATGTTGAGAAACAAGTAGGCAAATAATGATTTACAATTTGTTCTAAAATCCCACCCACTAATAATGGAATCTGCTTTTCATAAAAACATTTAAAGATTTTTTTAAAAATTCAAATATAAAAGAAATTCTGTTAAATAGAGTTCAGTTGACTTAGATAGCTATTAGGCAGACTGCAAATAGAGCTCCCCTTTCCCCTTCTCTCCCCTCCTCTCCTCTCCCCTCCCCTACCTTCCTCTTTCCCTTCCCTTCTCTTCCATTCCCTTCCCTTATCTTCCCTTCCCTTCCCTTATCTTCTCCCATCTCTAGGTCTCTCAGCCCTGAAGTTTGCTTGAATGAGCAGGAAGTACCCTTTAGGGACCCCCTCAGCCTAGTTTGCAGCACAGGCTGCAGAATCAGACGGGCTGTCTCTTGGCCATACCCTTTGCTTGAGGAGCATCCTCTAGGAAATGTTCCCTGATTTCCTCAAAAAAGCCATATACATTTATTATAGCTTCGGTCCTAAACACATTGCTACCTAGTTCTTGGACATTTGGTGATCCCAATGTGTAGTATTTATCAGGGTATGTGACAAGCAGACCTCTGGAGTTCCCCAGAGCCTAGCTTAGTGCCTGGCTTTTATAGCATGTGCTCAGGAGATATATGAAATAGTGAATAAATGAACAAGTCTTCATATTCATCTCCATCTATCAAATGTCCATTGAGCATCTCTGTTGAAAATCTCTGCTCCCATATCCTGGTGCAGTCACTGACTAACACTGACGTAATGATCACTCCCAATGCCCTTCACTCTTATGACATCTAATTCTTTAACAGAAACTGAAGCACAGGGGTGAGAGCTGATGTTCAAGTATGTAGGTAGGCTTGATATGATCTGACAAGTGCCAAAATAATTTCACCTCCTCCCCCTTCAAAAGTTTTCTTGACTGGTTTCTGAAATCCTACAGCAATCCCTTGAAGGGGAAGAGAATTCTTCCCTTGCTTCTTTTCAAGTCAAGTATTTGGTAGCACCAAGCTTTATCATTAATTTGTGTGTGTGTGTGTGTGTGTGTGTGTGTGTGTGTGTGTGTGTGTGTGTGTTATGTTTTTTAGGTTATTGAGGTTATTAGGTGCTTTAAGCACATAGACACACACACACACACACACACACACACACACACACACACACACACACACACACAGTGGTATTGTGCCCAAGGATAAGACAAGAAGACCTTGAGCTAAAGAGAGAGTTCCAGGCTGGCCTGGGGTATACACCAAGACCCCATCTAAAACAAACAAAATTCACCTATTTTGCTAAAGGGAAGGTAGATACAGCATGGCAATCTTAGACTCTTCCTGAGAGGTGGGTAGAGGAGTAGTCACACCAAGGAGAGTGTGACACACTGTTACCCAGGGTTTTTTTTTTTATCTGCTTTTTTCATTTTTCAGCAGCAAAGGAACAATTATACTATCAATGTGAAGGGCAAATGGGCAAAGCCTTAAGCAGGAGAGGGACAAAATCTGTGGGAAAGGGAGAAAAACTGTTCAATAATGTAGCTGACCCACACTTTGGTAGATGTTTGTGAAATAGCCTAAGGATTTGGAAGTTCTAATTCAGCCTCGTATTGGTTCTATGAAACCACGAAGGGCCCTTTCTCTACTTGGGTAGGTCTAGGAATGCCCAGTAATGAGGAAGATGGGTGGTGAGTGGGTGGCTTACCCGTCTCCTCCTTGTGCATACAAGTCTTTAATTGATTACAGCTCTCTTTCATTTCAGCCATTAATGGGATGATCTACAACCTGCCTGGCCTGAGAATGTACGAGCAAGAGTGGGTGAGGCTCCACCTCCTGAACATGGGCGGCTCCCAAGACATTCATGTGGTTCACTTCCATGGCCAGACCCTGCTGGATAATAGCACCAAACAGCACCAGTTAGGGGTCTGGCCCCTTCTGCCTGGTAAAGATCTGAGTAAATGGAAGAGGTCTCTGCTAAGAACTAGCAGGACAGGGCACCTGTAACTTCCTCTCCTTGTCTCCTTGTACATCTTCTGTTGAAGGGAAGTTTCTGATCTAGATGCCAAGGCAAAGTTTTGTTTCTATGTGATATACATACAGAGCACAACCCAGATCTCCTATGAGCTGTGTATAGCCACCTCATAAGACAGATATGTGACCCCATTTGGGTCTTCAGAGATTCATGCAGTTTCTCCTGGGCATCTGTGTGTCATAAGAATCAGATCTCAGTCTATGACAAATAACTCACCAAGGCAGCCGGGCGGTGGTGGCGCACACCTTTAATCCCAGCACATGGGAAGCAGAGCCAGGCAGATCTCTGTGAGTTCGAGGCCAGCCTAGGCTACCAAGTGAGCTCCAGGAAAGGCGCAAAGCTACACAGAGAAACCCTGTCTCAAACCCCCCCCTCCCCCCAAAAAAAACCTCACCAAGGCACAAAGAAACTATTGCTGTTGGGAGGTTGATTAGGAACTTAAACTGAGCTCTTCTGGATTCTTGAATTCTACTTCTGAAACCTTCCCTCTAACCTTTTTGAGTAAGTAATTATGGGAATCATGATCTTGAACTGATTCACGACTCTGTTTGGAAAGCAAGATCCTTTTAATGACTGTAAAAGCTAACAGAGGTATTTAGAGCTATTCACATGACTGTGTGATGATTAATGTAGATCTAAAGAAATGGGAAGCATCAGGAAAGATTTTTGTTCTGTCACAGAGTTGTTTCTAGGGAAATATGTTAGTGAATGGAGTTATTAGGGTGAGGTGCCACAGAAGAACCCAGGATTCTGTTAGTGAATGAGGTTATGAGGGTGAGGTGCCATGGACGAACCCAGGACTCTGTTAGTGAATGGAGTTATGAAAGCAAGATGTCACAGACAAACCTAGGACTCTGTTAGTGAATGGGGTTATGAGGGCAAGATGCCACAGAAGAACCCAGGACAATGGTTAAGATGCACATCTACTGAGACTTTACTCTCAGAGACTGCAAAAGTATAGATCACGGGGAGAAGACCCAGGATTCTGCATCTCTTGCAAGCAGCTGCCCTCTCATACATACTGTCTGAGGAACTAATGAAAGCCAATCCCTTCACAAGAGTTGGGGTGCATAAGTCATTGTGTGAATTGGTCTCATATATCGACATGGAGGTCCAGATGAGTCTGTTTTACTCAATAGAGGGAGAAATGGCTTCTTGTTTGGTTCTTGAATGCCACTCCCTAAGAGATCTAGGGAAGAAAAAAAGCTGTTTTGTTTAATCTCAGAGGCAGAATGGACCAGGCCAAATTCATGCCATCTTTTCACCAAGTGTTAACAAGAAGAGTGGTTTGTTGCATAAGCATGCAAGGTAGCCTGAGAAGCTAAGGTTGATCTTCTTCATAAATCTTCAAACCAAAATAACAAATTTCAGAAAGGAACATGAGAGATCTGATTCACTGTGTTTGAGATGGATAGCCATCAGCTGTTAATTTTTACTCACAATCTGAGGCATGGTTATAAATTATAATCAACAGAATTTAAGTATAGAATCAAATGGAAGAGAGTGACACTAAGTGTTGATACAAATAAACAGAAGTTTTAGAAACCTTTTCCTTTTTCTGAAACAATTTATATACGTTTTATCCAAGTATGTACACTTTCAAGAGAATTTGAAACCATAAGGAAAGGATATTTTTATTCATTGCATATTTTAAAAAAACATAATTATAAAGCTGGGTGATAAGTCTGGCTCTGCCTCCCGAGTGCTGGGATTAAAGGCGTGTGCCACCACTGCCCGGCGAAAATTCCTTTTTAAGAAGGACTGGTAGGCTTTTTTTTAATCTCTGGGTGATTTATTTTAGCAATTTCTTTTTTGTTATTTATCTGTTTGATGGTTTGTTTGCTCCAAATAAAGTCCATGTATCCCTAAGCAGTGACAGGTGGCCTTGAACCCCTGATCCTTCTTCCTTCTCCTTCTGAGCACTTTGATTAGAGGCATGCACTGGGGTGCCCAGTTTATAGGGTTCTTGGTCAAGCTCAGAGTGTTGTGAATTCTAAGCAAGCATTCTGACTGAGTACCTCCCATGCTTAGGTTTGTAATTTGCTGGTGTTGCAACTATCGTCTGATTCATTTTCATTTGAATGGCCTCAAGAGAAAAGAATCACTCTTAAATTCTCCTCTGCAGCTTCTCATGACTTTAAGGCCCTTAGAGAATTCCACCACAGTATTAATTTGATAATCATTGCATTTATAATTTTTCTTTCACTCTTTGATAATCGTCGAGTTTGTAATTTTTCTTTCACTCTCTATTTTAGGTTCATTTAAAACTCTTGAAATGAAGGCATCAAAGCCTGGCTGGTGGCTCCTGGACACGGAGGTTGGAGAAAACCAGATAGCGGGCATGCAAACGCCCTTTCTCATCATAGACAAAGGTATCACCCATGTGGTATTTGCTGGTGAGGGGATGCCTGATAATAGAATGTTTCCAGTTTCCAAATATGTGATTCTTGCAAATGTCTGATTCTCATCACTCTGTTGTGACAATGACAAAATGGGCTTTTTCTCTGGCCATTAAAAACATAACAATTTATCTATAAAATCCTAGCAAATGGGTCAAGTATTTCATGACTGGGGAAACCAACAGAAAGTGTACTTCCTCATGATTTTTGACCCAGGGGAAAATATACGTAAGGAAATCTTCAAGTTCCTGGAGTACAGCAGAAAGAGAAACTAGGATTCTGTCGTAACAGGTAGTTTATCTAGCCATCCATTGCCAAGCCTTGCCAGTCATCTGTTGACTACCAAACACTGTGCTCACATCCAGGTACCCACTAGCTGGCATTTCCTTCCTTGAGCAAGATGTAAATAACCTTGTAATCTCTAGGTCAATGAGCAAGAGTACAGTCTTATGAATAATAGTGCTTAATATCAATGATTTGTTTTAAAATCCAACCAGATAAAAATCAGCTTAAAAATATTTTTTAAGACTCCCGTTATTCTCTCCTGTACTAGTCACTATTTTAATAAACACCAATCTCGCTGAGCGCTTATCACTTTCTAATCAGGTATATTAAAGTTACTATCATGAAAGGTACACCATGAAGGTTTCTCTTGTTATATATATTTTCTAAGCAGAAATGATTGATTTTTGTTTTTGTTTTTCATAGAGTGTAAGATGCCAACGGGACTGAGCACGGGTATCATATCTGATTCACAGATCAAGGCTTCAGGACATCTAAGTAAGTAGCAATATAATAGCCTGTGACTGGCGATACCTACACTGTGCAGTATGCAACTCATAAAGCCATATATGATAGCCTGACCCTGGGCCAGTTCCTCTCTCTAGGCTTCCATCTGCCACAGTTTTAATAGCTCCACTTGAGGTTCTCCTCAGGTAGAGGAAGAAATAAGCAGGAGCTAAAATCCTATTAATACACTTATCATTTCCACTCCGTTTGATGTGTAGTTCCCAAGGAGTCTTCTCTAGGAAACACCAAGAACTTAGCATTACTGATGTCTCTACCTAGGTAGCCCATAACTCTGCACGGATTTGGCAGGAAGTAAATAGCTTAATCTTATGACCTTGTGATCATTTCCCAAACTCCATTTATCTTGCCTAGATTGGCTCACACACATAAACTCCAGCCAGAATCACAGGGTTTTATCATCCAGGAAAGACGGTCCTAATGCTTACGCTAGCCATTCATCTAGTCAAGAAATGTTAGGATCAAAACATCTCTTAAATTTATTCATTCTGCCCCAAATCCCTTCCTGAGATCTAGAGGTCATCATCAAGAGCATAATGAGGCTCCCACAGATTCCTCCCAAAGCTTCCTGTTTGTAGGCACATTCAGCAGTAGCCATATCAACAGAACTGAGAAAACACAAACATGACCTGGGCACAAGAAAGGGTGGATGATGGCTTACAGCTGACTAAACACGGTCCGGAGCCAAGGTTTCATCACTGAGGGCCGGCTTGGTCGCTCGTGCCCATGCCACCTGCCTAGTCTCCTAGCTATAGCACAGATCCTCCAGGGATCTGCTTCTTTGCTGGACTAAACTTACTTGAGAAATTGGTACTTTTCTACCAAAAAACAAAAAACACTTCAAGCTAGACATGGTAGTCCATGATTGAGGTAGAAATACTGTGAGCTTGAGTCTAGCTTAAGCTATATAGCAAAGCCTTCTCTCAAAAAATAAATAAATTCATAATTCCTTTTTTTCTTTTTTTTTTTTTGAATTTAGGTTATTGGGAGCCCAAATTAGCACGATTAAACAATGGTGGCTCATACAATGCTTGGAGTATAGAAAAATCTGCATTAGACTTTGCCTTTCAATCTTGGATCCAGGTATGTCTTACTAACCTGAGAAACCTGACTGTTACTACGACAAAAATGGCAGTGAGTTGGTAGTTTCTTGCAATGGCGTCAAAGGAAAGAGCACTCCGCGGTGGTAGGGACCATTCTTAGCACTTTGCTTCCTCGTATCAACCCCGAGAGGTGGCTTTAGTGATTTTCCATCTAAGAAAGAAAAACCCAGGCAACGGTGTCAACTACTTTCCTAAAGTAAAGCACACCCGTGCCTCAAATGACACTCAAGTCCAGATGCGCTTTGCCCTTACAATGGACCGTGCCTCGCCATTGTGTGAGTTCGCTAAGACCTTGGGCATTGTCCAATGCTAATGAAAGCTGATTACAGCATGGGTTATGGCAAGGTGTGACTCACTGACAAGGATGGTTCTGTTTACTGACTTGGCTGTATTGCAGGTGGACATGCAGAAGGAAGTTGTAGTCACAGGGATACAAACCCAAGGTGCTAAACACTACCTGAAGTCTTGCTTTATCACGGAATTCCATGTGGCTTACAGCTCTGACCAAACCAGCTGGCAGATCTTCAGAGGGAACAGCACAAAGAACGTGATGGTTTGTGCATATATTTCTGGCTAAATCTTAAGACTCACCCTGGGGTTTCCAGTATCCTTTACAATTGTATTTCAGGGCGTTTGAAATGTGAATGGTTTTCTAAGGGTCCTGGGAAGTAAAATGGCAATATGTGATAAGTCTGTATATTGCAAATTAAAAGGATACATGGGGCTACTAAAACTTCAAATCTCCACAAAACTTGAGAGGAAAAACTCATTTAAGCAAGCACCCTACAAAGTACTGTCAGGTGGTATATACCAGAGTGTCTGCCCTTGATCAGCACACAACCTATCTAGAAACTGCCCTCTAAGAGTTTTGATTTCACTATCATATTTTATTCTGTTCTTTATCTAACATGCCTTAATTTATGGTGATTATGATTACTCAGGGAGGCTCTGAGGCAGTGTGATTTTCAGGCTGCTTTAAAGGACATGCCTGAGGACTGGTGTACTCCTGCCTGGTCCTCCATGAGCCCAACCAAGAGTCCTAGATCATCCCCTCGTTTCCAGCCTCCTCCCCAAAGAAAAATATCCAAATACAGAGAGCCTGTCTGCCAGCCTTAGACCGACCACCTTGAATCTGTTTCTATTGATAATTATGTGAACCATTTGCCATTTGCTACTTTTTCCTTTGCTATCTCAGCTATTTCTAATAGTGACACATTTGTAATGTAGCTTAGATCAAAATCACTAAAAATCTTAAATTACGGTGCTTATAAACCAGTAGCGGGAAAGAAAACACAGATAGCAGTTTATATCATACTTAGAGGATTTTCACATGCGTATTTGTAAGGAACTTCTGTGTGTGATTTGATTGTTTTGTGCTGTTTCTAATTTTAATACCACAGCAATAGAAGACTTGTGAAGTAAATCAAGGAGCATTCTCTTCCCTTCAGTGCTTAGGATGAGATTTCTAAAACGGGTTTAATTCCTTCATTTGGCAGAAATCACCCACAAACCCACCTGAACCTGAAAAACCTCTCTGAGGGAAATTCAAAATTTTAAAATTCAACTTCTTTCATTAATAGTTTGAGGATTAATCGAATTGTCTATTTTATATTGGGTGAGTTGTGATACTTCCTGAGGCTCTTAAAATATGACTTGGCCCCTTTCCTCTAAGTTATTGGTCACGTGTGTAGACTCTGTGGTATCGATTGTCCTCAGACGTCCTCCCGACATCCGCAGGGGCTGGAGCAACATTGCCTGTCTCATCTCTGATATCATAATTTTTCTCTTCTTTTACTTTCGGGTCAGTCCTGCTGTGGCTTTGTCAGTTCGTTTTTCATCATCTTCAAGCACCAGTTCCTTTATTGATTTCCTTCTGCTGTTAATTGTGTTCAGTCTTACTGATGCCTACTCTTGGCTTCCATTTTAGCTGGGCAGTTTCTGGTACTTCTGAGTCAGGGAAAGGGAGGTGGGGCAAGGCCTGGTGACTGCCAGGTAGGGGGTCAGAGTCCAGGTTCTCACTGGGCACCTTCGAAGGCATTATTTTTCTCGGCTGCTAGGAAGGAGTAGAGTTCCACATTGGCTTCTCTTGACAATGCTGTGTGTTTGTTTGTTTGTTTGTTTGTTTGTTTGTTTGTTTGTTTTTCGAGACAGGGTTTCTTGTGTAGTTTTGGTGCCTGTCCTGGATCTCACTCTGTAAACCAGGCTGGCTTCGAACTCACAGAGATCTGCCTGCCTCTGCCTCCTGAGTGCTGGGATTAAAGGCATGTGCCACCACTGCCCGACTGAGGGATCCTTATTAGGATCTGCAGAGACAACATCCTGGGCTCCTGCTTTGGCCTTCTCTAATACCCTAGGATGGTTCTAGTTCCTCATCAGTCCCAGGAACCCTGCAAGTCTAACCCTTCATTACAACTGTTACTCCTGTGCTGGAGTTTGTCTGGGTTTTGTTTCTTTTTCTGTGATAGTTGGCTGGTATTCAGCAGTTATCTAGAGAGATTGTTGCCCTCTTCATCTCTAAGCCTGGGACATCTGAAGTAAACAGAAAGCCTGGTGGCCCCAGAACCTTGCTGCTCCTTATCGCTGAGAGGCTTAGCTGGTCTGTGCTGCTTTCTTTGGCCATCTTCCCGTCTACTTTTGCTTCTTTTCTGTATAGTCCCGGGTTTCTGGCTCACCGTACCGGAGGGAATAGGGGAAAGTGCATTGGCGCCAGCTTCCTCGAAGTAGAAGTACAGTGTTTATAGAGAATTGTTACTAATGCTTTCCCCTTTCCCTCTAGGATTTTGCTGGCAATTCAGATGCCTCTACAATAAAGGAGAATCGGTTGGACCCACCTATTGTTGCTAGATACATTAGGATACACCCAATAAAGTCCTATAATAGACCCGCCCTTCGGTTAGAGCTGCAAGGCTGTGAAGTGAATGGTAAGGGCAAGAAGCACCACCTTCTCATGGCCCCTCCAAGACTCAAGATTTGAGTGGTGTGGGAGACTAGAAGTCTTAGAAACCTTTAATGACTTAGGCTACAGAAAATTCTTTGCAAAAATACAAGCTCCAATCAGGGATAGTCTCCATATGATCTAAACAGAGACTGAGCCTGTTTCCAGTGGTCAGGATGTAGGCAGCGCCTCACTAAATGATGTGTAGATGATGTTAGCACCACCATGGCACATCATGACCCTGCAAGGAAATGGTCTAGGTTGGAACTGTCATCATCAGCCCATTTTCAGTGGGAGCTTCCTGACTTAAAGTCCCCTAGGCCACTCAGATTTTAATGAAGGAGTCACATCACTGGAATATTTTTGGAGTTCACTGAGTTTTTTTTTTTTTTTTTTTTTTTTTTTTTTTTTTTGGTTTTTCGAGACAGGGTTTCTCTGTGTAGCTTTGCGCCTGTCCTGGGACTCACTTGGTAGCCCAGGCTGGCCTCGAACTCACAGAGATCCGCCTGGCTCTGCCTCCCGAGTGCTGGGATTAAAGGCGTGCGCCACCACCGCCCGGCGTTTTTTTTTTTTTTTTACCCTCAACATGATTTCCAATTTCGGAAACCATGAGTGTGCTCTGTGTTCTGTTTTGAACCCTGTGTAAGTATTCAAGTCTTTTCAAGCTTTTGTTTTCAGGGGTGGAATTAGGCTTGTGATCTAATAAAATCTGGGTCATAAGAAACAGTCATAATAATGGTCTACTGACTGTTCTCTGATTTTGAAGCAATGTTTCTCAGTATTTTTAACTTTCAGACACATATAGAAAATACTATCATCGGCCAGGTATTCTGAGGTAAAAGACCAAAACAATTGGCCAGCGCTTGACTGACCCAGGCCTCAGCTGACTGCTAAAGAAGTCAGTACGCGAAGGAATGTATAGGTAGATGCTGTGTCATGCTCTTGTAAGCTACAGGATCTTCCCCTGAGGTAGGGGAGGAAGCCCTGACTCACCTCACCATGAAGAGAGCACCTGAATTTTGGAACCAGTTTCTTACCAAAGCACATAGCGCGGCACTTGACGTTTGGGAGAGACATGGATCTGGACATTTGCCAGTATCTCAATACTAGTGGTATATAAAACTGCCCACACAAAATGCAAATTTTGTGTGGGCGGGATTACTCCACGAAACAGTTCCACAAGTCATGGGAGTTTTGTCTCCATAGTTATAGTGTAAATGATTGCTTTGTCCAATCATGTGGTCTAGCTAACCTAAAATGTGAAGTTCAATTCTGTTAATTTATTGAAAAGCATTCATTTTCTACATAATAAGCATTACTTTTTTTTCTCCACTTTTTGAACTTACATAGGGAGCAGCACATGTTCCTTTTAGAATTTTTTTTCCCATAGAAAAAGCAAGCTATGGTTTCAAAAAACTGTTTGTGTTTTTCAGAGAAAAAAACAAAGTCGTATTAAGGCAAGTCATCAGCTAGCCTTGCTCACTAGGTAGGTTTCCTACACCAAGAGGCCAGCTTCGCTGCCTAGCATACTCAGATTATGCCTTGGCAAAATTCCAAAAAGTATATGTGTTCGAAATTTTGAAAAGGAAAACAGGAATGGTGGCGTCCAAAGCTCCACTACATCTTCTCGTCAGCTTCTGTTAGAAGAAACTGGGCTTTGTTTTTGTTTATTTGTTTGTTTATGTTTTTGGTTTTTTTGTACAGCTATGCATTGTTCAACAGTAGGGTTCAGTTCTTCAAAATTCATCTTTAGGCTGTTTTGTTACCATGCAAACACCATAAATTGTTTACACAAACCTAGATAGTGCAGGCCAGTCACTCAATGTGGTTTCTTGATAAAATAACATGACGCTGTTCCACAGTAAGCTACTTTTTTATAAGTAGAAGAAGCACATTCAAAAATTATTTTAAAAAAGTATAATAAGTACCAAAGCAGTTGCACTGTAGTTTATTATTGACTATTATGAATTGTACATAATTGTATGCACTATACCCCTACACATGCAATAGCATAGTAAGTTAATTTATATGGGAACCATCACAAACACAGAGATTATGTGTTGCTTATGACAACTATGATGTCACAAGGCATCAGCACCATAGTCTAATGGGACCACTATTATCTTGTTATTAACTGAAATGTCATTTTGTGGCATGGAGTTTTCAGAACTACCATCTACCTCAAAGCAAAGACCGACAGTTCCATGACTGTCTGAAGAAGGGAGCACCCATACTTAGGATACAGTATTTGGTGATATACTGGCATTGAATTCAGTTTCCTGTTCTTCTGACTGTCTTGTATTGGGTAAACTATTGTGTCTTGCTGTACTCTATCCTCTTCTGTCAAATGAGCGTGAGTATGAGCATTGAATAGTATATTTGTAGCACCCGAGTGCTATTTGTACTTGAATTGAACAAATGTTCTTTGTTTTGATTGTTTTGCTGTGTCCCTGGGAATAGTATTTCTTGCCTCCTCTGTTGCAAAATGCAATGCAGGGACTATTGGTGCTATGTAATTAATCACATTACTTTCCGCTTGACAGGATGTTCCACACCACTGGGCCTGGAAGATGGAAGGATAGAAAACAAGCAAATCACTGCATCTTCATTTAAAAAGTCATGGTGGGGAGACTTCTGGGATCCCTTCCGTGCCCGCCTGAATGCCCAGGGCCGTGTGAATGCCTGGCAAGCCAAGGTGACAGCAACCATATAAATGGTGTTCTCTTGCCTTCCAGAAACAAACAATGACCACTTACTGTGGGGGCGGGTAGGGAGCCCGAGCGTTAGATTCTCAAGTCCCAGGTTTGAGAGTCTAGCATGACTTGCAGAATCAACAGCAGCTCTAACCATGGCTCAGAGGAAAGTCACACAGCTTCCCTGTGGTTCTTGGTCTAGCTTTGATTTAAAATAGGAAGGGATGGCAGTTTGCAAAGAGCTAGAGAGTAAATATTTTAGGCTTTCAGGTAATTTGGAAATTTATTCTTTTTGTTTCAAGTAAAATGTATTAATGTGGCAGCTATTTGTTAAACATTGCTATGAATATCAGGGGGAAAACTAAGTAAGCTCTCACCCTAGAACAGCAAGGGACCTAAGAAAGCATATAATGGTTGTATATGATATGGAATCCATCCGTAGAAATTAAATGTATTAAGTCGGCGTACAAAGTAATAGGTTTTATTGTGGCATTTTCATACATATGTGTCTTTTTACTTTGTTCTTAATCATTTCCCTTCAGCACTGCCATCCCCTGTCATACATATTCTGTTCCTCTCTCGTTAGCCCACTCCCCCATCATGATCCATAACAGAAAACAAGAAACCACAGGGAAGACTTCTAAAAGACAGGGACTCCAGCCGGAGCAAACGGAAAAGCATTGTACATTTCTAAACATCCTGATCTTAACAAAAGAAAGGCTCAACATCATCCTCATTTCAGTGTTTTGTTTTGTTTTGTTGTTTTAATAATTTTCACAGGCAAATAACAACAAACAGTGGTTACAAGTCGATCTGCTCAAAGTCAAGAAGATAACTGCCATTGTCACACAGGGCTGTAAGTCTCTGTCCTCTGAAATGTATGTGAAGAGCTACAGCATCCAGTACAGTGACCAGGGCGTGGAATGGAAACCCTACAGGCAGAAATCCTCCATGGTGGACAAGGTACAGGATGCCATGTTGGGCAAAGCGAAAGCTGTGGGAAAGCTGTTTCCCTGGATGAGACTCATAGCAGCATCTCGAATCTGAAGATGCTGATTATGTACCACTCCCCCTGGTCTTCTCGACCCCCGTTCTCCAGGTGGCTGCTCTTAGCAGAGGGACCATTTGTATCACTTTTCTGACTTAGCCACCTGTGAAGTGAAATGGGGAGGGACAAAATGTCAGGGGATGCAGTGTGGCTTTCATTATCTCTGACTGAGAAAGATGGTGAACCTATCCAGAAAAGCTTCTGCTAAAATAATAAAAACATTGCTGCAGGTAGACTTGCTGCTTGTAGCAAATCAGATGCCAGAGCCCCCAAGCTTCTGTGTGTCATATTGCTATTAAACAGAAAACATTTGAGAAGACTACCTTTCTGGTGAAATTAACTACTCCATTACTGGTAGAAGGTCCCGAGACCTTCTACCAGAAGTAAGGCCATGAGCCGGGCGGTGGTGGCGCACGCCTTTAATCCCAGCACTCGGGAGGCAGAGCCAGGCAGATCTCTGTGAGTTCGAGGCCAGCCTGGGCTACCAAGTGAGTTCCAGAGAGGCGCAAAGCTACACAGTGAAACCCTGTCTCGAAAAACCAAAAAAAAAAAAAAGAAGTAAGGCCATGGAAATGTGCCTAGTGATTCAGGAATGGGAACTGGGCTAAAACTAGTAGGAAACACAATCCAACAAGGGGGACTAATTAAATTCTAATTCTAATTAATGCTCGGCACTGAATAACTTTGTGCCCCTTCCTCACTTTTAAACCCCTGGCAGTGTGTTTTGTCTTGTTATAGCAGGCTGTCCTCACACCAGGGTAAACTCCGCTGCCGTAAAGAGAAAATGGCTTGTCACTGCTGTTCGTGCAAATCTCAGGGAACTTCCTGAGGGTGAAAGTGAAAACAAACATGAACAGTCGAGGAGAAGCACACACCAAAAAGAAATTAAAATGAAAACCTCAAGGGTCGTATTTATTTTAAATGTCCATGACAGCAAGTTATTTATTGACATCCACTAGGTGACCCTTACTAGGTGCTTGCCATGTAGTTACCGACATTTTCAAATCTGTACAACTTGTGTGATGAAAAGCCTTTGTTATTCTCACTCTGGTGATGAGACAATGGTGTACAAAGGAATGTAACAACTTCTTCAAGGTCACATGGCAACAAAGAAGCTAAAGAAGAAGTTCACAAACCCTCATGTCAGGTTTATTTATTTTTCCTAATTTGATACCCATCATTAAGAAATGAGCATCTTTAAGGGCTGCTCCTGGTCAAATTGGCAAGTGTGTTAAGGTTCCCTCTGTGCCCTTCTTTCTGGCTTGTGATTTAGTAATTTACTGATAATGGTAAAAAAATAATAATAATTGATGACTGACTTTGGTATAAGAGGATTTAAAAAAATGAGTATGAAACATGATGCAAATTTGACAATTTTTATCATGTTTTCCTTTCAGATTTTTGAAGGAAATAGTAATACCAAAGGACATGCAAAGAACTTTTTTAACCCACCCATCATTTCCAGATTTATCCGCATCATTCCTAAAACATGGAACCAAAGTATTGCGCTTCGCCTGGAACTCTTCGGCTGTGACATTTACTAGAATTGAATACCAAAAGAGGGAAAGAAAGAATAAAAACTGAAGAAACTTCTTAAGGCCTAAACCATTTAGAGCAGGCAATATATTATGGCTATTTTAAATGTTAACAAATTTTCTGCTAGTTTTTTTTTCTAATAGAGAATAAAGTATTATATAAGAAGCTTTTACAATGTTAATTCATGGCTGCCATTAAGCGAGGTGGAAGCTATTATTTCTTCACTATTTTGAATATAGATGGGAAAATATTAAGTGCCAGCAAGAATATGACTGCATTTTATTCTGATTAAAGATGTTATATAATATAATAGTTATATAATGGAATAATATGGTTCACTGTAATAGTGCTTTCAAACCCTGTAGACATTAATAAAAGAGATATTACTTTCAGAAACTATTCATAGACCTAGAAAACTTTTATTCCTATATTTTTCTTTTAAAAACAAACTATAATTTGTAAACAATGGAGACTAAAATAGTTTAGTTTTTTGAGAATAGAGAAAAAATCTTGCTGTAATGAAGTGAGAATGTAGAAGACCCTGTGTTGAGCTGGCTTCGTGGGCAAACAGAAGAGCTTTCTGGAAAAATCTGATGGCTTGAGTTCAGATACCCAGAGGGGAGGGAGAGAACTGATTCTGAAAAACTATCCTCTGATTTCGCCATGCAGCTGTGGCACAGGTGTGTGCCCACGCCCACGTCCAAGCACTAACAGTAAAATAAAAGATTCTACAAGCCCATCTTTGTATGTTACCATGAGTCTTCTAATTCTCCACGAGCAAAGACACAACTGAGCATGTTTCTCACATTCCAGTTGGACTTGTAAATCTGCCTTGGCTGTGTTTGGGGCAGGTTGCACCTATCGATGTCCAAGGGTACCAGCCACCAGACATGAAATAAAGCCCAAATAACCGAGGGAGACCTGGTCATGTGCCTTGGTTTGATCGAAAAGCTGGCACTGTGTCACATACTGTTTCAAAACTTGGGTTCACCTAAGGGAAGTCACTTACCTGTGAAGAAGAACACAGGGACTGTTGGCACAAGTGTCGCAGTTCCTGTTAGAGCTGCTCCGGGCCAAATTGGCAAGTGGATTAAGGTTCCCTCTGTGCCCTTCTTTCTCGTCTCCCCTTGCTCGACCGCTTCTGTTATCATGCTTTTCTCTGAAAATTTGAAATCTGGTGGTGCTGCACTGCCTGCCAGTCTGTGGAGCCTTTCAATATCTACAAAGTCGCATGGGATGGACACTCCATACAAACAGGGTAGTCATTCAAACAGACAGTCAAAACTGTCTGGTTTCGTGAAATAAAACACCCCCAAAGCTTAAGCAAGAACTGTGCAAAATATACATAAGGTAAAGATAAGATAGATGGCTAATTTTACAGTATGTACGTATACAAAAACATCCTTATGTATCACAAATACAAATTTTCTAGATTAAAAAATTAATGGAAAAACAACATCAAATTTATTCTCTTTCACAGTGCTGTGGGTTCACAGGACTGAGTTGGACTGTTTCATTGCAGGCTTCATTTGATGTCGCTCCTGCAGTTAGAGTAAAACCACAGCCTCAGCTGGGCTCCTAAGGGGATTGACATGAGGACAGAAATTGGAGTGGCAGCGGGGAGGGGGAGAGGAGGGTCTTTTCTCTCTCGATGTGTCTCCAATCCCCACTACTTGGCTTCTGCATGTGGTCTTCCACTCAGTGTCCCCAGTGAGTAGCTGGCTTTTTATAGGGTGGTTCGGGCGTCTCTAGGCAAATGCTCAAATGCTAGGAAGAAGAGACCCTCAGTCTTTTGAAAGTCTAGGCTCGGAGCAGAGGCAGAGCGTCACTTCTGCCATGTCCTATCAGGTGAAGCAAGTGAAGAATAGGTGAGCCAAGATTCAGTGTGGGAGGAACTCTGTGGGGTATGCATACCAGCAGGCACTGTTGTTCACTGAGGGTTTCCTTCGAAACTACCAGTTACCTATTGCATCTTCCAATGAGCCTTGTAGATACATGGGAGAGCTTTCAACATCCGTAGAATCGTGGCTTTCTAGGAGTATTTATATTTCTGCTGTGACTTTCATTTTGTGATTCGTGTTACTATCCTACCAAAATTTCTCTAAGATTTTCATTTTGTTAACAGCAGCTGAGAATCTGAAATTTAAAAAAAAAAAAATCTCTTTTTTCCAAGTCTGGCCTTGTGGATTTGCTATTGATTCACCTACAAAAGACCCTATGTTCAGGCATCCACCTACAAAAGACCCTATGTTCAGGCATCCGGACTGAGGTTACTGCTCAGCTGTCATCCTCTTGAGACCTTTAATTTTAGGATAAAAATCTAACACTTTCATTTTTTTTTGTTTTTGTTTTTTTGTTTTTTGTTTTTTGTTTTTGTTTTTCGAGACAGGGTTTCTCTGTATAGCTTTGCGACTTTCCTGGAACTCACTTGGTAGACCAGGCTGGCCTTGAACTCACAGAGATCCACCTGCCTTTGCTGAGATTAAAGGCTTGTGCCACCACACCAGTCTAGGATTTCTCTTAAAATCTACTGAAGTATAATTGGGGTAATAAATATTATGCAGTACCATAAGCAGGGGAATAATTGACAGTGTAGTGAAACACTTAGTCTGGTTATCTAGTCTATGAGATAAATAAGACTCCAAAAGTAAAGTAAAATTGCTCAAAACTCTTACTTATTAGTGTCAGAGCTGAACTCAAGTCCATCACAGCATAAAATGGAAGTTATGATATGCATAAGCCACACCCTTAGGCAGGTAGATATGAGGGTTAATTAGTGACACGTAATTGATCTGAAAAAAAAATGCTTGAGTACCAAGAAAATGTTAGGGCTATAAGTGACTTTGAAGTGAAATACAATTCACTTTTTGTCCCTCCCTGTGAAGTTGTTCAGCTTGGGTACCTGGTATAGCCTCCTCTGACGTAACACAATGAACTGTTTGTTATCTCCTAACTGGTTGCTATGGAAAGAAGTGACTCACGGAGGATTTATGATTTGCAAAGAGAAACCAACAATTAAAATCCTAGACATTATTAGTCACTCTAATTGAAAGTTGGAAAAGAATGGTTGAGTGTATCACAAAAATGAAGAGTCCCCAGTAAATGTAGAATCACTTCTTCAGAAGGATGTCAAGTACCAAAAAGAAATAATCATGCTACTTTTTAAAACACAGTTGACCAAGTGTCATCTTTTGTGATGAGGACCAGTATAACAATGAAAGGGGAAATGTTTGCCATATGTGAAAAATAAAATGATTGATAGATAGGACAATCACAGGGTACAGCTGGAGGTAACAAGACTTTAAAGTGTTTATGTAAAGGCTGTGTCTCTGGTCCCTACTTAAACTACCTTCAGTTCATCTGCACTTTTCTATTTTTATAGTAAAGGAAAGCTTCTCCATGTCTTAGGAATGGTGTACAGTAAGTTCAGATCCTTGCTTTTTTTTTTTTTTCATGTAAAAGCAAAGAGCCTTTATTTCAAGCTCCAGAGCTTGGTCCCTCTGTCTGTCCGACACTGCGGTGAGAGCAGAGAGCCCCTTGCTTATTTTTTATTGGCATGGAATTTGGTGACAGCCTCTGGTGTACCTATTTTCAACTCCTTGCCTTAAGTACTTTCCCATGGTTGTGAGCCTATCACCACTGTTCCCCACTCTTTGTTCATGTGTTTGCTTGTGACAGAGACTTGTGACGTCACTCTGCCTCATCTAGTATTCTATTTGTTTGTAGTCTAAGTTGGCCTCAAACCTGCCTGCCTCAAGTACTCATTGCTTTTTAATTGCTACTGTTTTCTACCTTACTTTTCCTGGGAGTTGGCATTCCTGTAGAGCTCCAGGATTTTCACAGAGGTTAACCCACAATTCCTGAGGCTAAACAAATGACTGAATGTCATGCCTGAATTTTTTTAGTAGATTTAACTGACCTGATTATGTTTTTCTCAGGAATAGAAACACTTAAAGTGTGTTTATATAGTAAGCCCTCAGGCCTTCCTCTATGAGATTCAGAAAAACTATCCACATAGAAAATTGGAAAATTTAAATGGAATTGTCTTGGTTAGTGTGCTTTTCCTGTAAAGAGATGCCATGATGACCAAGGAAACTCATAAAAAAGAAAGCATTTAATTGGGGCTTGCTGACATTCCAGAGTTTAATCCATTATTGTCATGGCAGGAAATAGGACAACATGAAGGTTGACATGGTCCTGGAGACGCAGCTGAGAGTTCCACATCTGGATCATCAAGCAACAGGAAGAGAGAGACACTGGGCCTGGCTTGAGCATTTGAAACCTCAGAGCCCACCTCCAGTGACGCACTTCCTCCAATAAGGCCACACCCACTAATAGTACCACTCCCTGGGGACCAAGCACTCAAATTTACAAACCTATGGAGGCCATTCCTATTCAAACCACCACAGAAATTAAGTAAAAGGTTTATTTCAAGAAAAATTGGTTGTAAAGAGAGGAATTAAGCCAGGTGGTAGTGGTATATGCCTTTAATTCCAGCACTTGGAAGGTAGAGGTAGGAAGATCTCTGAGTTCAAGGCCAGCCTGGTCTACAGAGGAAGTTGCAGGACAGCCAGGGTCACACAGAGAAACCTTGTCTTGAAAAACCAGAGGAGGAGTTTAACCAAAGATAAATTAGAAAAGAACTAGTCAGCCCAATAGACTATACTATGCATTGTGAAGATCACATTTTTTTTTTTACAATACACTGAATAGACTAGAACATTATACACTATTGGCTGGTGGTGATAATATGGTCTGACAGTTCTGGATATTATAAAGAATGCTCCATATCCTCTAGCAGCTAAATTAGAAATGAATTGGGAAGCCAACACTCTCAACTAAAAGTAAAATTCCAGAAGATAGTTTGGGGCTATAGCTCAGTGAAGTCATGGCTACCTAGTACATGTGAGTTCCTAGATTCAGTCCCCAAGACAATAACAATGGTTATGAAGATAATAATAATCCCAACACATTTTGCATATGAATGAATATATTTGTCTCTTATCTTTTCCCCAGAAGATTTAAGGTTATTGGACTGAGAAGAAGGCTGACTGGGTAAAATTCTTGCCATATGATCATCATGACCTGAGTTTGAGTCCCCAACATCTGTACAAAAGCCAGGTAACGTGTGTCTGTAACCCTAGCACTGGGCAGGAAGAGGGGGTTTAGCCACAATGGTGAGCTCCAGGTCCAGTGAGAGATTCTGTCTCTGAGAGTAAGGCAAAGAGTGATAGAGGAAGACACTGACTTTGATCTCTATGCACATACAGGTGAGTGTACCCCCATACATGCGCACACACACACAGATGAGTGTACCCCCATACATGTGCACACACACACACAGGTGAATGTATCCCATACATGTGCACACACATCTCATACACAAAGGATTTAAGCTTGACTGGAAGAAAACATAAGATACTGATAGCTAACATACCCTAGAAGTAGGAGAGAAAGCATGATTCCAAGTCAGATCATAAAGAAGCTTAGAAAGGCTGACATGAAAATGTAATTCAGTTCTCAAGAGTTATATGGCTTTCGACTTTCAGTGACCAAGTGCCCCTGGGCAAATTGTTTAACCTCTGCCTCTCTAAGCCTAGGTATCCTCAGGTGAGAAAGAATATAGCATTGTTCTAACCATCAACAAAGAAAATGTAATTTATATATCCTTAACCTTGCTGTAGATGAGCTTGGATTTAACAGAATCTTTTTTTTTTTTTTTTTTTTTTTTTTGGTTTTTCGAGACAGGGTTTCCCTGTGTAGCTTTGCGCCTTTCCTGGAACTCACTTGGTAGCCCAGGCTGGCCTCGAACTCACAGAGATCCGCCTGGCTCTGCCTCCCGAGTGCTGGGATTAAAGGCGTGCGCCACCACCGCCCGGCCAGAATCTTTTTAATAGTCAAAGCAAAAATAAAAACCTTATCATGAGTTATAGATGCACTGTTCCCAAAAATATTCAGAAGAAGCCCACTTTTCTGGAGACTGAAATTAAACATAATTTTCTCCCAAAAGCCCCTAGAACAAGGCCACCACCCGATGTGAACAGTGCCTCTAGAAAGTTGAATAGTGTTTAGCTGCTTTCATGTGCATCCCTCAGAATCTGAACTCTTTCAACAAAACACAGTTCAGTGAAAACAGAGCTTCAGAGGTCAGTTCTGTGTGTGTGCTCCGTGTGCCTGGGCTAGAGCTTGGAGTCTCTAAAGTGAGCTCATGTTCATATACACACTACAATCATAAATATTTCTCCAGTCATGGATTTGATGGCCATTTGGTGGCAATAAACTCAAGACTGCATTCTCAACTGTGATGACCACATTTCTGCAGGTGTGCCCTCTCATCTCGTC